TTAAACGTAAATATATCAGGCTTAGATCCTTTTCTTGACATTTCATCAAACAAATCCCGTGCTTCATGGATTTTCCCACCCTTGCATAGTGCATTTATTAGGGTATTATACACAGCAGTATTCAGCCTGACTCCTTCAGCTGACATGCCGTTTAGCATGTTACCAACTTCCTCTACCCGACCTTCCTTGCATAATCCATCAATCAAAATTGAGTATGTTATCACATTGGGCTTACAACCCTTTCTTTCCATCTCATTAACCAAATCCAAAGCTGAACATAGACATCCTTGCTTGCAAAGTCCATGAATCAAAATGTTAAATGTAAAAACATCAGGTTTACAGTCAATACTTAACATGATATCATACATGACAGTCTTAGCTTCTTCAAAACGTCCGCTTGCCACATATCCATTTATCAAGGTGTTGAAGATAACAACATTTGGGTTGGGCACTTTGTGTAATAATGCCCTTGCTTCATCAACATAGCCTGCTTTACATAACCCCTGCATTAACAACCCATAAGAAAGGGCATCAGGGGTGAAGCCTCGGAGAAGCATCCGATCAACCACTTTCGCTGCCTCATGGATACGGTCAAGCTTGCAAAGGCCATAGATAACATCATTAAAAGTCTGAACATCAGGAGCACAACCCATCAGAAACATTTCTTCCAAAAGTTTCACTGCTTCAATAACTCTGTTTCTTTTCGACAATGCATGTGTCAAAGTATTGTAAATGACTGAGTTAGGCACACATCAATGTCTCGTCATATCCCTAAGCAGTGAGCATGCAGAATCTACTTCATTATCCATACAAAGGGCTTTCATTACCAAACCAAATGTAAGAACATCAGGAGATATACCCTTATTTAACATGTCATAAAAAACATTCGGAGTTTTATAACAATTCCCATCTACAAGAATACTCAAGACTGTATTCTAAGATCTAAATGTTGTTTCACAAAAGTAAACACTCTTCATATCCAATAATAGTCTAGTAGCCTGACCTGGCAAACCGGCTATTCCATAATATTTCATGATCGAAATGAAGAGTGATTCTCTAAAAACGACCCCTTCTTCTTTTATTTGCATCAATAACCTATCTATAGCTTTAAATTCATTAGCTGCCCCAAGTTTTTCAATAATAACATAATACACGTCAAAAGTATGACAATAGCCTTTCTGTGAACCCGCCCATTGAAACAACTTCAAAGATGTGGGAACATCAATTGGCAATTCAAGTAGTTTAGAAAGCTGATAAGGAGTAATCTTATTGAATGATTTTCGAAGTTCATCGAGGTCAAATGGTTTGAGTAATTTATGCCATTCATTCTCAGAATCTGACTGATTGCTCTGGGAATGATGCCCAGATGAGAAAACTGAACATGGGGTTTTAGAAACAGATTGTAGCCTTTTTCTAAATGCAAGTTTTTTCAATCTTCTCAACATTACTCTAAATAGGTAGCTCCAAAATCAGAAAATTTACCTCTTTGCTGACGAAAATTTCTGGAAAAACGTTGTTGTAATGCTGTCCTGTACTGAGATTGAGTTGTGATTTTGGCTTCCCCGGCGTACGATCAGCAGCTGCTTTAAAAGGTTGGGGTTTTGCCGCTTTGGAAGTGAGTGGAAAAGAACCTTAATGCTGATATCGGACCTCGAACTATATCAAATTTTCAGTTCGGTACTTAATTTCTTCCTACTCTTTGATTATTAAATCTCTATGGCCATAAAACATTGATATGAGAACGCTGCCACATGATGTTTCTTTATTGTTTTATAATATGCAAAATTGCAAATTATATGATTTATTATATTTTAAAAGTATTTTTTTAAAATACTTTTAAAATATATAAATATAAATTTTAATAATTTTAAAAAAGTTAAACTATAGAAAATTACAAAATTCAAAAATTACAATGTGTAATTTTTTTTATTTTAAGTGTCTAATTTATTTGATTGAATTAAGCGTTTATATTAATAAAAAAAAATTAAGCGTTTAACCTTCTATTTTGCAATATTTTCTAAGTAGTCCGTTAAAAGAAGTTACTCAATTGAATGAGCGACGTGTATTGGTTTAGCGATCCCAACACCCATGCACGCAAACAGTACTGAAACAAAACTCCCCAATGCAGACATGGAGACTAAACCACGCAGCACCTATCTCCATGGAACCAACCATAACAACCAATACAGCACGTGAAAGCAGCTCCAGAAAGATGCAGTGATCGATGGTAACTCAACCGGTGGACACCAAACTGTACTACCAGCTCAACCACTCAACAGCTCCCAGGCGTCGAGCGAGTCGAAATTCCCATCACACGAACCTGCATTCACATAGGGCAGCCCCGTGTCTAAGCAGCAGACGTTATGCATCAGAGAAGAAGCACCAGGGCTGTCATATGATCACCTCGCTGAAATACCAACAAAAATGACCCTCCAGCAGAAACCACACCTTCGAAAAACAGGAACCACAACACAGCAGGCAAAAAACTAGAGCAAGCAATATACATTGAAAGACATTCAAACCTCTAGAACCCACAATAAGAGCCACTCCAACACGCTCAAGCAACTGTTAAAATTACATATCAACCCCAAATAAACGATTCTGGATTTCTGATAAAATCATGCGCATAGGGGAATTCCATAGGCCAATTGCTATTTGCCCAACAACCGATCCTCACAATGATAACATAAAAAATTCTAGTGTCAGAATTAGGAGCTCTGTTAAAGACGGCATCATTCCTAGAAGTCCACACGGACCAAAGAATACCAAAAAAACTTAACAACCATTGCTTCTTTACCTTCTTCCTCACCTTCTGCTCATTCCATATGCAAATCAACGATTTCACATAGCCAGGGACCACGAACCAGGTAAAAAAATTGAACTTAAAGAAGTCATAAGTAGAAAATAACAATATGGATCCTTTATGGGTAATGACTTCACAACTAATTTGGTAGTGGAGTTTTGGACTTTCTTTATGTTCTCAATTGTAAATTTATGATTTTTACTTAAAAATCCTGACAACAGTAACAAACTGCTTAAGCCTTCAATTGACGATTGCAGGATTCTTCCGCTCGATTTAGATCAAGTACATCTCCCATGTTGATGCTTTAGTATTCGAGTTTTCCTAGTAATTTCGTCAATTGAATTCTCTTAAAAGACTTTAGTTCTTATTTTAAATTGCTTTGGTTGATGCTCGTAAAGCCAATTCTATTTCAATGGGATTCTAGGGAATTCGCTCATCTTAATAGTCAAGCTGTCGTACAATTAGGGACCAAACTATTGAAGGGTTGGGAGGTCTCTTACGGAAGCTGCTCTCAACCTGGTGTTGGGGGTAGTCTACTATCTTATCTCCCCCTTACCCCATATATATGGAAAAAAAGGACAGCCATTTTTTTATATAAAATAATTTTACTCCTCTCAACATTTACATGATTGTCTTTAAAAGAGTAGCTATAAATATATTTATTGAAGTTTGATTTCGTATACAAAGTTTCAGATTATTTTCAATTTGATAGATAAAACCATGAAATTTAATATGCGAAGACGTGCAATACTTGTGTGAGTGGGTCATCCAACTCGTCAAGAATAAGGTGACCTTAATTTAAAGAAATGATTGTTGAAGACAAAAAAAAGTCACATTGAAAACATAGTTTAGAATAAAGAAAGGGTAGAATTACTTTCGTGATGGTGTCCGGATTGATTTGCATAAAGAAATGACAAGCGTGTCGTCTACCACAAAATACATCACCACCATAAACACTTCAGGGTTTATGATCTATGGTCTCACTGGTGGATCAATCCTTAGTTCAAGATGAGTATATATTCTATCTTAAATTTATTTTTTTATATATTTTTTTTATTTTATTAATTATATAAAATTTAAAATTTTATTTATGTCTATCTCATATGTATATATATATTTGGTTGCTGTTGTCTATAAAATTTTGTTACCTGACAATAGCTATTACCAAACCCCATTATTTCCCTATATTTCTTTATCTAATGTTCTTCACAAGTCTTTTGATTATCACTTTACTTCTAATATTTTAAGGGTAGATATGGGCAGAGTAGCCTTCTAGATAGATTGTGAAAAATATTTATTGTGCAGAAAAATGTTAGTGAATATATCAAATAATATATTTATCAAGATTATATATTTTTAGTTTAATTGAAAAATGAGTACTAAAATTATATTCCTTATTTATTTGAAGTGTTTATTTTATTAAAATAGTTGTTCAGCCTTTTTTATTATCGATTAAGGTATCTAGTCATTAAGGATAGTTAAAAAAATATTATTCAATTAGTATTTGACACATAACATGATTTTTTATTTTTTAAAAAACAAAATCATTAATTTTCTAAACCATACACTCATTCTATCTTCAAACTCACATCATTATGACATCTCCCTTCGTGTGGCATGTCGTCGTCCGAAACAAAATAATTGTAACATTTAGTCGCTAGTTCCGTCGAATGAGATTATTTTTTTACCCAACTATAGTTTATCTATCATCGTGGGCGAGATTGTACCGCCATCCGAACCAAAATTAAATTGTTCGAACCTTCGCTCACCATCTAATCTCTAACCATTTAAGAGGATGTGAGGATTTAGGAATTTGGAATTTTTTTTTTAAAAAAATTGAAATTTAATATTTTTTAAATTTTTGGAAAATTAATATTAATAAAAAAGTAATATGATATGTCGATCAACCATTGGATGATATATATTTTTAACAGTTATTGACAGGATGGCATTAAAGTGATAATAAAATTAATTTTAGAAATTATAACCGAATAAACATTAAACACTTGCTTAAAAAGAAGATATTTTAAACTTTTATAGATAATTTAGATCCGGACAACAGATTACGACGACCGAATTGAGCTAATAGGTAACTTGTTGCCCAAAAGAAAAAGAAAAGTATTGGTGAGTTGAAAATTGTGAACTTGTTAATCAAAGCAGGTCCCTCTACCATTACCTACTTGTATATTACCTAGACCAAAGCTCAAACCAACCAGATCAGCCCAAAGCAAAACACCAAACATACACCTTCTCGCTTTTGTTTCCCCTGTACTTTCACGCTCCACTTCTTTTTCTAACTCTCGCCGGCAATGGAGGCCAACCCAGACCGGCACGATTTCATCTTTCGGTCCACCCTCCCTGACATTTACATCCCAAATCACCTCCCTTTGCATACTTACTGCTTTGACAACATTTCCCACTTTAAAGATCGTCCTTGCTTGATCAATGGTCCTACTGGTCGGATTTATTCTTATGCCGAAGTCGAGCTCACTTCTCGGAAAGTGGCCGCCGGACTCAACAAATTCGGCATCCAACAGGGAGATGTTATCATGCTTTTGCTTCAGAACTCGCCGGAATTCGTCTTTGCTTTCCTTGGTGCATCGTTCCGAGGAGCAATCAGCACTACCGCCAATCCCTTTTACACGCCGGCGGAGATTGCGAAACAGGCGACGGCGTCCAAAACTAGGCTGCTTATAACTCAAGCGGTTTACGCGGAGAAAGTGAAGAATTTCGCTAAAGAAAACGACATCAAGATCGTGACGATAGATACGCCACCGGAGGGTTGTTGGCATTTCTCGGAGTTGATTCAGGTGGACGAGGATGAAATCCCAGCCGTCAAGATCAACCCAGACGATGTTGTGGCCCTTCCGTACTCATCTGGAACTACGGGGTTACCGAAAGGGGTGATGTTGACTCATAAAAGTCTCGTAACAAGCGTGGCCCAACAGGTTGATGGAGAGAATCCCAACCTTTATTTCCACGAGAGAGATGTGATTCTCTGCGTGCTGCCTTTATTCCACATATATTCACTTAATTCCGTGTTGCTCTGCTCTTTGAGAGTAGGGGCTGCAATCTTGATCATGCAGAAGTTTGAGATTGTGACGTTAATGGAGCTTGTGGAGAAATACAAGGTAACCATCTCCCCTTTCGTTCCGCCCATCGTTTTGGCCATTGCCAAGACTCCGGACGTCCATAAATACGACCTTTCGTCTATCCGAATGGTGATGTCCGGCGCTGCTCCAATGGGAAAGGAGCTAGAGGATGCTGTTAGAGCCAGACTTCCAAACGCTAAACTGGGACAGGTAACATGCTTAATTAACTTTGATGTTAACATGTTTATGTCTAGGATGCATTGAAGGCCCTTAAAATTTTAATTTTTTTTATAAATTCATTCCTGACATAAAACCTTCGATCCAACTCTATTTATGTCAGATTTGGAGGGTTGTAGATTGGGTTTCATATGCAACGACAAACCTATTAGTAATGAAATCTTATTAGGAAGTGCCTCTAAAAGTACTCCAGATTGCTAGGAAGAGCCTCTAAAAGTCCTCCAGATGGGGTAGCACAGCCATGTTTCTTATTGTCGTTATTTGATAAAGACAAAAAATCTCATTGTTTTTTAAAATAATTTTCTTCGAAATTTTCGGACCAAAATAATTTTCTTTCCAATAAATTATACCACCAATATTAATTTCCTCTAATAAATGCTGGTGATGCGATGAGTTTTACTCTTCTTCTCTACCATAACATAAAGTTGAAACAAAATTGACCTACCAAGTTCTGTTTATAATTAAAGGAAATCAAGCATGAAATAAATGCAAAAGCATGAGTGAATCCCGCACCACCCAACAAAGAAAAAATATCAACTGTTGTTCCATTAATATGCATTTTGGTGCTGGTTAGGGGAGTAACCGCAATATAAATGGGTTTGTGGCGGTGAGTACAGGGCTACGGGATGACTGAGGCAGGGCCGGTGCTGGCCATGAACTTGGCTTTTGCGAAACAGCCGTGGGAGACAAAATCTGGTGCATGTGGCACGGTCGTAAGGAATGCGGAAATGAAGATTGTGGATCCCCAAACTGGGGCCTCGCTTCCACGAAATCAGTCGGGGGAAATTTGCATTCGGGGTGCTCAGATCATGAAAGGTATAAAACCGTTTCAATTTTACATTTTTATTTAGTTTTTTTTATACATTAATGCAACGATTACTATCTCAGTAATAAAAATTCATATTATTCTTTTTTTAAATCTCAAATTTGATAATTATGTGTATTTTTTATATTTTTATTATCAATTAATTTTCAAATAAACATCACTTTACAATTACATCTCGTACTAATAAAAATAAAACATCATTTATTAATTTGTAGTCAAATTTTAACACTTCATCTAGATAACCAATTTGTTTGGTGGGATGCATCTTTTGCAGGCCCAAATAGGGTTGTAAGTGAGACGAGACAGATCGCGAGCTACTCAAGATCGAATCGATTAAGGCTCGATAAATACTCGGATCGAATGGATTCGACTCGAGCTTGAGCTCGACTCGAGTTCTTAACGAGCCGAAACGAGCTACTCGATATTCGACTCGAAAAGCTCGTGAGCAGATCGCAAATATAATATATTAAGATTTTATTTTTTTAGAAAATAAATTATTAATAATATTAAAATTTATGTATTAATTTATTTTTAAAATTAAGTAAGATTTTTATGTATTTAAGGTTTATGTTCGAGTTTGAGTTTGAAGTTTCAATCGAGTTAAGTTTAAGTTTTTTTTTTTTCATTTCGAGCCTTTTCGAGCTGCTCACGAGCTTCAGTTCAGGATTTCGAGTTCGAGTCGAGCTTGAAAGTTTTAAACTCGCGAGTTTTCGAGTCGAATCGAGTTCTATTTCAGAGTTTTTGAGTCGAGTCGAGTCGAGCTCAGCAATACTCGAGCTCGACTCGGCTCGTTTACACCCCTAGGCCCAAAAGTCAAAGCCTTAGCACAAGTTGTTATTAGTAAACAAGAAATGTTCAAAATTGCAGACCTTGATAACAACTTGATAGTATTTCATTTTTAATATATATATATATGTGTTAGTTTTATAATATTTGTTAATAATTCAACTCATATTTCATGATCTATTAATTATATAATATTTTAAATCAATTAAAATATTTACTATTTTTTAATCAAAAAGACTTCTATTGAATATATATTGAAAAATTCTACTAATATTATTAAATTCATTTACACTAATTAATATCCTTAAAAGTCCTCCCTTGTGATATATATCGTATGTTGGTAGATACAAGATATTTATGCTTTGTATATGGTGAATGACATCCCACATGCATTTTAGGCACAATAATACAATGTTTCTAATTGTGATTTTTTTGTGCAACATTGATTTTGAATATATATTGCAAGGTCTTTTAATTCATCTTTCCCAGCTCTTGATTACGACTTCTACCTAAGACAATAATGGCTTTTGATTGGGGAATGACATGCCAAACATGCATCGTTGGATATGGAATATAGCTTCATTCTTTTTACTTTATTTTCATTTCATATAATCATATAGTGATAATTGATGAAACACCTAATAAATTATGAAATAAATTTGATGTTGTTTAGGTTATCTCAATGATCCTGAAGCCACAGAGAGAACAATAGACAAAGATGGATGGTTGCGCACAGGTGACATTGGCTACATTGACGATGATGATGAACTTTTCATTGTTGATCGATTGAAGGAACTAATAAAGTACAAAGGCTTTCAAGTGGCACCTGCTGAGCTCGAAGCAATGTTGATTTCCCATCCTAACATCTCCGATGCCGCTGTTGTACCGTAAGTCTCCCTTAACACAACCACGTTGAGCAATAATTCGAGTCGTGCAATCACATCAGTTTCTATCATATATGTATTTCAGTATGAAAGATGAAGCAGCCGGAGAGGTTCCAGTTGCATTCGTTGTGAGATCCAATGGTTCCAAGATCACCGAGGATGAGATTAAACAATTCATCTCAAAGCAGGTAATACCAAAAGTTGTTTGTAATGTTAAACCGAGTACTCAATTATCTGAATAATGTATATGGCTCCCATGGTTTGATTTATTATTGCACAGGTTGTGTTTTACAAGAGGCTTGGCCAGGTTTTCTTCACGGATGCCATCCCTAAAGCTCCCTCAGGCAAGATTTTGCGGAAAGACCTACGAGCAAAGCTTGCTGCAGATGCACCCAACTAGCCCAAAGAGGACATGTACGGTCGCATTCCATGTAGAAAATGCTATCAGCAGATGTACCCAACTAGCCTAAATGTGTTGCGCTGGTGATTTTTAATCACAAGGAATTGAATTTGTCACTTTTGGAAAACCGAGAGTTGAGGATCAGAGGAAACTGGTACTCTATTGGGGCTTTTCATGAAAATGTTTGTAGTTCTTTATGTATATGATTTTGTGGACAAATTGGAAAGAAAAAAAAAACAGAAACAATTGTTGTAGAACATATGTTTGGAGAAGTTGAAACTATCATCTGTTGTGTTTATATCTCCGTTTTCTATTATTCAATTGGTGTTTCAATCTTTGCTTTATTACTTGTGTGCATGCCAACTTTGCCCAAATATATTCATCGTGGTGATTTTCTGGATCGAGGTCGATTGATAAGACAATCGCTTTCTCTAAAAATTTAAAATTATAATATATGTTAAATTTCTTTATGTATATTTTATTAATTTTTTTTAATCTTAAAATTTTATTATTCTACTATTTTTTCAAAAAAAAATATTTTTTAAAAAATATATATAAAATGATCCCAATTTTTTTTTCATTTTGTGTGTGAAGAAACTCTAGTTTTAAATTGTCTTTGATTTCTCGATGATAAAACATCTTCTTCAAATCCCAAGAGTGGGGAGGTGGAGAAAGAGGAACTAAGTTGTATATTTTGATTCCACGCTATCGGATATTGAATATATAAATCAAAGTTGCTTGGGATTTTTTGAGTTTTTGGTTGAGTTTTATTAATTTTAAAATGGTTTAGGTAAAATCTAAATTGATAGACTAATAAGAGATAATTAGGTGAGCTCGTTGATCCCTTGAGTGGTTGGAGAAGACGTTGAAGAATGATAATTGCAACACCAGTGTGAAATATGGATGAAATTGTAAAACTTTCAAATTTGGATAAAGAAGATAAAATAAAAAAGGGAAAATAACATGGATGACACATAAATTTTATTTTAAAAAAAGTAGTACATGTCAGCAGACTTCCATATCACTTTTTCATTTATGATTTAACATTTTAGTGACCAAAATAAAAAAATTAAAAGTTTAATTATTAAATTATTTAAAAAAAACTTTAACGATCAAAATAATAATGAAAAATTAAGTGATAGATTTTATAATTTATTTTTTAAAATAAATTTAAAAATATAATTAATATCATCCTAACCTTCGTTAGCCACTGAGAGGCTAGTTAATAATTTGTTACTGTGGTTGTTAGGATTGGAATGCCAGCATGTCTAGGCTGGCATAACCATATGGAAGGTTCTAGCAGGTCTTGTAAAACCATATATACGAACTCTTTACTAATGAAAAATCAAGGTATTTGTTATAATCAAAGTCAATGAAAACCTAATAACCTTGCTTATTAGAATTATTATTATATTTCTTTATGTCAATGAATAATATACAACTCAAAGTGGGGTTGACAAGTAACCTATGATTTGGGCTTCAAGTGCATGAAGTTGGTGGGGAAATAGAGCCTGAACAAGTTGAAAGCGGAGATGGAAGCGATGAAAATCATTGCGACACTTGATACGAAGCCGCAGAGCAGCGACCCTCCGATTTGGAAGCAGAATTGAGTGTATTTATTGCACCACTTTACCCATTGGAAGTTCTCTTCTCCCGTCACCACCAGAAGCGAATGCTCCGTTGCCGCTAAGTGCCCTGCAAACACCACGTACACTGCTGCCTGACAAAGCATTTCAAAAGAGAGAGATGCATCATATCGAACTAACCACTGTGGTTCTGGTTTAAATAATCTTGGATCGGATGAAACATTAGAGGATGGGTAAAAAATATCTACCTGGTCCAAAACAAAACGAAGCCAAGCTACATACGTGCAAGATTGCAATGATCTTCCTTTGCACCAGGCTGAGAACGAAGAACAACTTAGTTGAAGTAGGTTATAAGCAGCAGCCAATGAATCGATATACACCAATCCACTGTCAAAAGTTTTATCAGAATCATTCAAAAGACATATGTATTTGTTCTTTTACAAGTGATAAAAGATAAAAATCTTACACGAGAGCACGTAAATCCTGGAAGGAAGCTTTCTTTTCAATGTAGAAGACGACATTTCTTTGAGAGTCGAAGCCAACTAAGAAAGCAGTCAAAACCAACATCGATAACGCAGTAAGTCTAAGCAAGGCTTCCATTTTCTGAATCCCCGATTCCATCTCTCTTTCTGGTTCCAATCAATTATCCAACGTTCTGCCTCTTTATATATAATGAAAATCGCTGAGACAGAAGAAAACCTGTGGTGTGGGAATTCTCCACGACGATACATATAGTATATAGGGTAAAATACACAAATGATCCCCGATCATAAGATGTTATTTTGTTGAGTCTTCGATCACTATAACTTATAAAATGATCATCTGATTATAAAGTATTATTTTTTAGTCCCTCAACTATTAAAAGTTATAAAATAGTCACCAAACTATTGATATGTTACAAACTCGTTATTTTTTGTTAAAAAATTGATGACAGTTTGAGTTGGCTGTTAACTTGCTAACCATGATATGATAAAATTTGATATCAGAATCTCAAACAACTATACAACTCAAATAGTTATGTGATCAGATTTATGATATATCAATCAACAAGTTAATGTTCAACTTAGATGAACGTCGATGTTTTAAGAAAGTAATGCTATATAGTCAGTATACCATATTTGTAATTTTGATAATTGAGGATTTAACAAATCAAATAGTCGGTTCGTGTACTTTACCCTATTATTTATTATATATATTGTAGCTATACATTGGATGCAAAAGCTTGCGATAAGAATTAAAAACAATTGAATGAAATTAAAAGAAAAAAAAACTGATGTTTATTAAGTTCAATTTTGAAATTTGACTTTTTTTAAAAGTGAAAACATTTTGTATTGTTTGAAGTTTGGATATATTCTACTATGATATAATCGAAATTTAAATTCATTATCAAATATTTTTAAAAAATAAACATTAAAGGTAATTAGAAGTCTTGAGCAATTAAGAATGATAAAATTTCAGTCCAATCCTTTCAAAAGTTATAAATTAATATAATAATAAATTTACAGTCCATGCTCTTAAAAAATTCTATAATTGAATTTTGATCAATCTAAAAACAATTTCTAATTTCATCATAATTGCGAACAAAAAAATCGATCAATTAAATGATATAATTGACGTGCCAACCACTGAGTAATGAATTGGACGTAGCAATTTCATTTATATTTTTTTGCGATGGGATGAGAGTAATTGATGAAACCCTAATCAACAGTGTTATTTTGTAATCAACATATGTTGTTATTAAGATCAACAGCTGACTTAACTTACTCCGTTTCATACTCCGACACAATAATTATCATAAAAAAATTAATTTTAATATTTACCGTATGATAAAAACGAATTAGGACGGAAAACTGTTGATCTAAGTGTATTTAGATGGGACACTAATTATGGAGTTAATAAAAGCTGTCTCTCCGGTTGTCATTATCTGCCTTCTAAATTCAAAGTATATATATATATATATATATATTATGTACACTTCCGGTATAGCAAAATTATCGAGTTTTATATATTTTTAATAAAAATTAAATTTATGGCTAAAATAAAAATATAATTAAAATTATTCTAAAAGGTTTGAATTTTAATACTAGAAGCCAAGGCATCCATAGGAGTAAGAAAAACCTAGGGATGGGCACGGGGTTTCGACCAACCCGACCCAAAAATTTTATATTCTTCTATTGACCTGAATTCGACTTGATTTTTTGAGAGAAAATTTAAACCCGACTCTATCCGACTCGAAATAATAATAAAATATTATTTTTTATTTAATAAAAATAGTTATTTAATTGAAAAAATATATATATAGGGGTATTATTGTAATTATTCCTAAATATAGAAGGTAAAATTATATTTTTTCAGGTCGGGTCAGATATTTTTCACCCTTAACCCGGACCCGATCTTACCCGAACATCACCTTTAAAAAAATCTGACCGACCCGTTTTAAACCCTATTTTTAATTAAAAAAAACTGACCCGAACCGGGTCGGAACCCGTCGGATTCGGGTATCATGCCCATCCCTAGATAAAGCATAAAATACCTTGCAAGGAAAAACGATATCTAGTGAATTCTATATGGAGATCAAGCCAAACTTAAATCTAAGTATACTTCAAAAATAATATTTAGATTATGGTGAACCGAGACAAATTACGTATGTTGCTTTTAAAAATATTAAATTCTAGATTCACCTCTTTTCCTTCCCAGATTCGCTATTTGACCCTTGGGTAAAGATGAGGCATTTCCCATGCCTTCACTCCACTTCAGTTCTATTAGTTTTTGCAAGTGTGAACATGCTCCCGATTCGGGATCCCTATATACTGTATTTAAATATATGTTCTTATTCAGAAATATATTAGACAGGTAGTTTAGTATATACATTAGACAGGTGGTGTGAAAAGAATAAGAGGTCTTAGATACGAAGGCATGAAGCATGAGGCAGGTATTGACCAACACACATTTTATTTTTTGTAATACATCTTACGTTGGATCTGGTATGTATTATATAAGTAGTTGAAATGGCACGGCCCTCAATCCACGAGTCTCTAACCACTCCCAGTTTTCCAAATCCAATTTCCCAGATACACAAGTTATTGTTTTCATCAATGGCTTCCCTCCAAAATCAATCCAACTTTGAAACCCAGATTCCGGCTGAAATCCTCATCGCTCGCGTCATTCAAATCCATGATAGGATTTCCAAGCTCGAGTCTTTAAGGCCATCAAAGCTGGTGAATAGCCTCTTCACTCACCTCGTCAAACTATGCACCCTCCCTTCAAATATAGACGTTAAGGTCTTACCCCAAGATGTGCAGCACATTCGTGACGATCTCATACTTCTTTGTGGCCGAGCCGAAGGCTTGTTGGAGCTTGAATTCGCCACTTTCTTATCCAAAATCCCACGACCATTGAATAGTCTCAATCTCTTCCCTTATTATAACAACTACGTTGAGCTGGCCAGTTTGGAATATAGAATTCTTTGTGACAATGGTGTGGTGCAACCAAAGAAGGTGGCGTTCGTTGGTTCGGGCCCAATGCCTCTAACCTCCATTGTAATGGCTACCCATCACATGAAATCTACACATTTCGACAACTTTGACATTGATGAAGCGGCGAACGACGTGGCTCGTCAGCTCGTTGCGTCGGATAGCAAGTTCGAGGAGAGGATGAAGTTTGTGACACGTGACATTATGGAAGTAAGGGAGAAGTTAGCTGAATATGATTGCATATTTTTGGCTGCTTTGGTTGGGATGAGCAAAGATCAGAAACTAAAGATTATTGGGCACGTAAGGAAGCACATGAAGGCGGGAGGGTTTTTGCTTGTGAGGAGTGCCAATGGTGCTAGAGCATTTTTATACCCCGTTGTGGACGAGGTAGATTTGCCTGGTTTTGAGCTTCTTTCGGTTTTTCATCCCACAAATGAAGTGATCAACTCTGTTGTTCTCGTGAGAAAGCCCATTTTCTAAAGCTAAGCTCTCCTTTGTAGCAATGGGAGGTTATATTGAATATTAGGCCTCTCTATCTTCTATTTTTACAGTTTCAGAAATTTATTGTTTGTGTGCTTTCCTTGTTTCAACAATGCTACGCTTCTATTTTCCTACTTTCCTTTTACATTTTGTTGAAGGATTCGATATTTTAGTATATATGCATTAATCCTTAAAAATGCTGAGCGAGCGTGGAATTTAGAAAGATGCTGAGATTTCAAATTGAAAGTGATGAGTGGGAAGTTACTGCGGAGTTTGCAAGGATGAATGGACTTTAGTTTTTTTGATTTCCGATGCGAGACGACCGATTGTATCTGATATGTACGGTAACGGAAATTCTAAGAAAATTCGATTTCACTTTTCAAGTTATAATGTTTTGGGTTGGTAAAAAAGGGAATAATAGAAGTAAAATAGCAGCAGTAATATGATGGCATGAAAAGTGCATGCACAGTGGCAATTTAAACCATGATCAGTAATGGTTTTAGAGTAAATTGGAAAAGGCGCATTCTGTGGGAAGGCCTTGGGGGAATCGCTTTGTGTCTTTGCAGTAATCATAAATCTTGTAATTCTCCTGCACCCATTTCCTCCGCCCTTTCTTTCCAAAGTTAAGCTCTTCCCAAAACCATGCGTCTTTGTGTGGGCTGCAATAGGATGAACCAGATGACCAGACGCAAGCATCAGCCTCGAATTTCCTATAGGAAGCTTTAAAGGGGGTTTGACTCCAATCTGTCTTGACAATCCCGCCTGTAGTTGCCCAGTCATCGGCATTCCATAGCGTAGAATACAACCTCATTTTCTGATTCTTTGGAAACGGAACGCCGAGGAACTCCAGGTTCTTGAACTCTCTAATGGGGATGTCATCCACATAGAATCTGATATACAGTATAAACAAGGTATAGAAATGAATATATTTAGCAGGAAAAATAATGCAGTTTGGTTTTGGTTGCTTACACAATGCGCTGGGGGTTCCAAAGGATGGAATAGGTATGGAAATCTGCAGTGGGGTCAAACCATAGGTAGAATTGCTGCTCTCTATTAACCTTGCCTTGGCTGAATACATTGGTATGGAGAATGTAAGCTTGTCCACTCAAGTTCCCCAGGAATTCAAAATCTATCTCATCGAGGAATACTGTAGCACACATGCATCGTAGAAGATTTATCAAATTTTATTTCCACAATGGTGTAAGAGAATTGAAGTTTAAATCAAATTACGAATAAGGTAAAGACTTACATAATAGGTAGTTACAGTGCCGGCTGAATTGCCAGGGACAAGCTTGAGCTGCATCTCAATCTTTCCAACTAGGTACTCATCCTTGGATTGGAATCCAGAACCCGAGGTTTTGTCCAGGGACAAAGTAAGCAGTTGGCCACCTTCCTGAATCATGCCATGTCCCCAAACGACGTCGCAACTTTGGTAAAAGTTACCATCGGATAAGGTGGCCACCGATGAACTGACGAGCAAAAACAATACAATCCCAGTGGAAGGAGAATGAAATGCAGCCATTTTCTTGATGTAAATTCTGGTTGTTGTTGATGTTGTTTGATATTTGTAGCATTTATAGGAAAGATAAGAGCATACAGAGATGAAAGACATCGTGTATGGATGTGGAAGCAACTACTAAGGCATTGACAACAGCAAATATTATGAAATAACCAAACGCGACTTTTCCAGAGAATGAGTCTGAGGAACATAAACTCTCCTGTTTACTTCATAGTTTTGCCGTCCCTTTACCAATCTCTCCTCTCCGACGTGTTGGTCAACTCCAATAATATAATACATCCTGCTTTTTTCTCCTGCTTTAGGTTCTAATTTATCAATTTAAGGTCAACCAAATGCTCCGCGACTAATTGATGGAGAGATTGGAGACATTTATTATATTTAGATGGATGGATCCATTTTCTATATTCATGAAAATAATTTATCTATAGACATTCAACATTCATTCTCTCTCTTTTTCAAATGTTTTTTAAATGAATAAAAAATGAAAATTTATTTAATTATTTTTTATTTATACTTTAAAAAAAAAGTCTAATGCGTGTATTTTGAAAGAATGTCTAATTTGGTACCTATACTTTTAAAATGTCAAATGTAGTATTTATATTTATCAAAATATCTAATATGATACTTGAACTATCATTTTATGAATCATTAAGATACTTGAGGTTAATAACATTATGAAATTTATTTTTCTGATAAAGTCAAGTGAACATTATAATATTATATAAAATATTAATGAAATAAGATATTTTGTTAAAGTACTATATTGGATCTTTTAAAAATATAAGTACTAAATTAAATAATTTATTAAAATGTAAATACGACATTAAATATTTTAAGAAAACAAATATTACACTAAATATTATATCAATATACATGTACAAATATAATATTATCCCCAAATAAAATAGCTTCAATCAATCAATCTTCATTCTACTTTTAAATGGCACGGCCCAGTGTTGGGCTGGCAAGTCTTATTTCTTTGAAAAACCTAAGATGATCCAATATGTAATGAGTTAAAATTCAGATACCGGTCCAACATTATATCCCAACAGGGACCAAGGACGATATGTAAGAGAAGTTAAGCATTCAAGGTATATAGAGATTAAAAGGAAAATTGAGAGCGAATGTATAGGTTTGAATCTTGGCGTTTGTTAATAAAATAAACTAGAATAAAAGTGTCATTATTTCCTATATAGTACTCGATTCAAGTTAATCGATTACTTAATGGGAAACTTGTGGTTATAAAAAAAAAGGGTGAGCCCAACTTTTTCTTCCTCTTCCTACCTCGGTTGCGGCAATCACATGGACAGTGTCTACTTTTGTTATGAAACGACACACAAATTTTATATCAAATTACTACAACATGTATAGCATTTCAATCAAAATCATAAATAATCACGTACTTTTTATTATATGAAGAAATAAAAGAGAGAGAGGAGAGAAATCAAACTAGTAAAATTTTTAAATATATTTTTATTAATCTATCACATACAAATGTAATGAAAATTCTCTAAATATAAACAGAAAGATAATAACAAATCAAAGAATAATGAATATTAATATCTAATTTAATTATCCCCAAGTCACAGGCTCACAAGTCTTTTAAGACATCTTGCAATCTGGGGGTAGCCCTTGAGGGAATCTCTTGGCGTCAGTGCAGTAGTTATAGATCATGTAGTTCTTCTGCACCCATTGCAGCCTTTGTTGATTAGTTAAATCCATCTCTTGAGAAAACCACGCATTGTTGGTTGATGGGGAATTTGATTTGCAGGAAGAAGCTCCATTGGACCACACACAAGCGTTGGCGTTGAAGTTCCTGTATGAGGCAGTGAAAGGAGCATGGGTCCAGTCGGTCTTAACCAGACCACCTCTTGTGGCCCAGTCATCAGCATTCCACAAGCTTGAGTAAATTCTCATGGGCTGGTTCTTTGGGAATGGGACACCAAGTGATTCCATGTTTTTGAACTCTCTGATGGGTGTACCATCCACAGAGAAGATGATGCGTTGAGGATTCCAGAGGATGGAATAAGTGTGGAAATCCGCAGTTGGATCAAACCAGAGATAGAACTGTTGCTCTCTGTTGCCCTTTCCTTGACTGAATACATTGGTGTGGAGAATGTAAGGGTCGCCGCTTAGGTTTCCAAGGAACTCGAAATCAATTTCATCCCATGTTGATCCTTTCGAAGATAACTGCAGACACAAATATTGAAATATACGGTAAGTACCATCATATTATAAGCCAACGATATCTATTACGTCTTCATAAAAAGAGCGTGAAAAAGAAGAAATAATTGGAGAATAACTTACATAATAGGCAGTGACTGTTCCAGCAGAGTTTCCAGGTACAAGCTTGAGCTGCATATCAATCTTGCCAAAAAGATACTCATTCCTGGACTGGAAACCAGAACCTGAAGCTTTATCAAGTGAGAGAGTGAGAACCTCTCCATTGTTAATAATCTTACCACGGCCATCCCCCCATGTGATGTCGAAATCATTGTGAAAGTTGCTAGCACATGCTGCCATGAGACTCCCGAGAATAAGAGGCATAAGCAAGGTAAACTTGAAACCTGAAGAACTCATTTTGTTTACTGGTTTTTGTACAGGTAGCAGGGGGAAATGAGAGAATATGTTGGAAAATGAGTAAGTAGCTTGAAAATGCGGTGTGATGGTAAGGGGAATGCTAGAGCTTGGCATTTATATAGTAAAGAAAAGGGCATAGGAAGAGCCAAGGAAGCTCCCTTGAGCTTGGTTGTAGACAGTTGTCTATGGTTTGTATATAAAAATAGCAATAAATATCGCACTAACAAGTAACAGCCATCACCACCCTACAGACACACGGTTCATGATATAACGCGGCTTTATTAGAAAGTAAAGTTTGGTGGGGTAATTGGTGCTCGGTTCCTGTCACCAGGTTAGCTAACCAATACGACAACACCGCCTCCAAGTAACCAAATATATCTACTCAAAGCTGCCTGTTGCCACTGAAAATGATTTGTAATTAAATGTAGATAACTACTTAAATGGTCATCCAAATTTTACGGTGTTAGTTTTTTTAATTATTTTTTAAATTTAATCATTTAATATTTAAGATAATATTTTAATTTAAACATTAGATTATTGATGATACTTAAAAGTTTATTTTTTATAACCACTAATATAAAATTTATTAATCAATTAATTTGGATCGAGTACTGCAGATGTGATGACAATCTCCTCAACCTAATTTGTTCTATTCGTAAACGTCAAGATTCAAATAATTATTAACATAACAATTATATTATAAAATAATTTAAATTATTACTTAATATTTTTCTTTAGATTAGATATTTGACTTTGGTTTTAAGATTTAGTTTAGACCTTAAACTTTTGTCAGTCCAACTAAATACTTAAATTTAATTTTTATATTCAATTTTGGACTTTTCATGATTCAAATTATTGAAAATAAATAATTTATTTTAAGTATAAAATTAGACCAAAAAGTATAAGTAAATACTAATTTATATCAAATAAGTCAAATTTAAATAATTGATTAAATATCAAATTATACTTTAAAACTAAATTAAGATAGAAAACATATTTGACAGTTGGATACCCAAGGCTTTTAGCCTAGAAGAATATGTATAATTCATATCTGAGAAAAGGAACAACTTTATACTGTTTTTGAGTCAGATAATTTTATATGTTTTATGATTTGGTGTATAATATTTTCACCATGTAATTATAAATATCCAAAGTAAAAATAATTTCACGCCTGATATAATCCTTTTCCTCGATGAAAGGGGTCTTTTTGTATTATTCTTTTAGTAACCTTTTGGTTACTTAAAGGCGGTGTTGTTCTATTGATAATAGCCAGCTAACCTGACGACAGGATCTGAGCTGCAATTACCCCAAAGAACTTCACTTTCCAGTAAAGCCGCGTGACATTATGAACCGTGTTTCTGTGGGGTCATTGTCAGTACGCGATATTGCAGCTATTTTTATATATAAACCATACTCATACAACTGTCCACAACCAAGTTCAAGGGAGCTTCCTTTGCTCTTCCTATGCACTTTTCTTTTACTATATAAATGCCAAGCTCTAGCATTCTCCTCAACATCATACCACATTTTCAAGCTACTTCTCATTTTCCAACATATTCTCTCATTTCCCCCTGCTACCTGTACAAAAAACAGTAAACAAAATGAGTTCTTCAGGTTTCAAGTTTACCTTGCTTATGCCTCTTATTCTCGGGAGTCTCATGGCAGCATGTGCTAGCAACTTTCACAATGATTTCGACATCACATGGGGGGATGGCCGTGGTAAGATTATTAACAATGGAGAGGTCCTCACTCTCTCACTTGATAAAGCTTCAGGTTCTGGTTTCCAGTCCAGGAATGAGTATCTTTTTGGCAAGATTGATATGCAGCTCAAGCTTGTCCCTGGAAACTCTGCTGGAACAGTCACTGCCTATTATGTAAGTTATTCTCCAATTATTTCTTCTTTTTCACATTCTTTTTATGAAGACGTGATAGATATCGTTGGCTTATAATATGATGGTACTTACCGTATATTTCACAATTTGTGTCTGCAGTTATCTTCGAAAGGATCAACATGGGATGAAATTGATTTCGAGTTCCTTGGAAACCTAAGCGGCGACCCTTACATTCTCCACACCAATGTGTTCAGTCAAGGAAAGGGCAACAGAGAGCAACAGTTCTATCTCTGGTTTGATCCAACTGCGGATTTCCATACTTATTCCATCCTCTGGAATCCTCAACGCATCATCTTCTCTGTGGATGGTACACCCATCAGAGAGTTCAAAAACATGGAATCACTTGGTGTCCCATTCCCAAAGAACCAGCCCATGAGAATTTACTCCAGCTTGTGGAATGCTGATGACTGGGCCACAAGAGGTGGTCTGGTTAAGACCGACTGGACCCATGCTCCTTTCACTGCCTCATACAGGAACTTCAACGCCAACGCTTGTGTGTGGTCCAATGGAGCTTCTTCCTGCAAATCAAATTCTCCATCAACCAACAATGCGTGGTTTTCTCAAGAGATGGATTCAACTAATCAACAAAGGCTGCAATGGGTGCAGAAGAACTACATGATCTATAACTACTGCACAGACGCCAAGAGATTCCCTCAAGGGCTACCCCCAGATTGCAAGATGTCTTAAGGACTTAAAGACCCAATTAAAAATCAATATTCAATATTCTTTCATTTTTTACTTCTTTCTCCATACCAAATTATGATCTTTCGAGAATTCTCATTTCTTTGTTGTATATGATAAGTTGTTATGAAAAAGATATGTCATGAAATACAAAAACTTATACTCCCTTCAAAATTAGTTTTCATTGATCTGTATCGTTCATGGGTTATGAAATATAAACTAGGAATCTAACATAATTTAGTATACAAGATTTTAATATTTTAATCTGATTCTTAAATTTTTTGTATGTGTCAAACGAATGAATCTGGATAATAGCTCATCAAAGACTATTACTATTCCTATTCTTATTGGCTGTTGCCCCCTTTATAAAAACTTAGCGCGTGCTTATTGTCGTGACCATCTCTTTTATGGGGCTACAACTGGGTAGGTACGTCAAGGCCAACTATGTATAGGGCTTAGTGGCAGTGTAGAATAAACTTGTATTCTTTTCAAGTATTTCAATGTTTTAAGTAGGGAGTGGAGGTATGACTTACTGTCCCATGTTCGAGCATTTCAACGTTTATAGGTAGCATTTCTATTATTTTGTTTTCGCATATATGTAGGGGGTGGACAACCGGCAGAGTTTGGGCTGATCCACAGGTAAATGTACGTGTCTTGTGAACACCATCGAGGGCCACCCCTACGGCCTAATCGATGGTGTGGGTGAGTCTTCTGTAACCCGATGTTTCTTTTATTAATAAAATATTTTTCTCTCGGAGAAGTCCGGGGGTTGAGGTGTGCATCCGCTATGCCCCACGGGCTCGGATTATTGGTCGAATGACCATATGGCTATAAAGATCTAACGCGATGTTTGTTTATGTTTGATCAGATCTACGAGATTAAGGCTGACTTGGTTGGGAAGCGTCCCTTTCGAGTGCCGCACGGATTAGCAACCGAACCAACTAGGCTAAGTCTGTGACACTTGGTATCAGAGCACAGAGGTGCGTGTTCGTTTACTAAAAGCACGGAGGTGCTCATTTTGTTGAGTAAAGCATGATAGTGCTTGTTACCTACTTGTTGCACAGCTGTGCACAAGTGCTAAACCTAGCACAGAGGTGCTTGGTCGCAGATCGCAGCACGGAGGTGCTCGGTCATTTGTAAAAGCACAGAGGTGCTCAATCCTTCTAATGCACAGAGGTGCTAGATTTTAGATTGAAACACAAAGGTGCTCAGTCATTTTGGCTGCATAGAGGTGTCAGTCCTCGATTGAAGCATAGAGGTGCTCAATCGTCTTAGCTACACAGAGGTGTTAGCTCCCGGCTGAAGCACAGAGGTGCTCAGTCATTTTTTTTAACTGCACAGAGGTGTCAGTTATCGATTGAAGCAAAGAGGTGCTCAATCACTTTTGGCTACACAGAGGTGTCAGCTCTCAATTGAAGCACAGAGGTGCTCAATCGTTAATTCTAGCACAGTGGTGTTATGGATTCAGCACATCGGTGCTCTTTTTCTTCCTAATTTAGGCACGATTGTGCTTATTTGTGTTGCAGGCATAGAGGTGCCAGCGAGTTACAGAGAATGGTTCACACACGAAATGGCAGAGCAACAAGCTCGCACATAGGTGTAGAGCAGGAAGTTACTGAGCCGGTTGTACCGAGAATGGTTCGCACACGAAATGGCGGATCGACAAGCTCTCACAGAGGTGTAGAGCAGGAAGCTACCGAGCCAGTTGTGCAAGAGACTGGTTCGGTTGATCGACGGAAGCTAGAAGAGATCGAAGCTGCGCTAGCGGCCCTTAGAGCTCATATGATATCTGGTGATCGTATGAGGAGAGTCGAGGAGACCCAAGAGGATTTGCTCGAGACAGTTACTGATTTGGGCAATGAGGCAAGAGATGTTATAGGCGCCATACAACTTGGGTATGATGAGCTGAAGGCTCAAGTCAGTGTGCTTCAGGCAACGATAGCTAGTTTGACCGCAAACCCTATTGAAAGAGTGGGCGTACGAGCCAAGATCCCTGATCCTCAATGCTTTGATGGAGCGAGGGATGCTAAAGAGCTTGAGAATTTCTTATTTGACATAGAGCAGTATTTTCGAGCTATGCGCACGGAGTCTGAGGAAGATAAGGTGGCAATGGCTTCGATGTATCTAGGTGGTGACGCTAAGTTATGGTGGCGATCCAAGTTCAAAGATGGAGTGTGCTCCATTACGACTTGGGATGCGTTAAAGAAGGAGTTGAAGACCTCCTTCCTCCCCGAGAATGTAGATTACAACGCTCGTAAGAAGCTAAGGGAATTATCCCACACTGGACTATATGGGAGTATGTGAGAGAGTTCTCAACCTTGATGTTGGATATAAAGGATATGTTGGAAAGAGATAAGTTGTTTCATTTCCTTGAAGGGCTCAAGCCATGGGCTAGACTCGAGCTGCAAAGACAGAAGGTTCAAGATTTGACAGTAGCGATAGCTGCTGCCGAGTGCCTTAATGATTATAACGATCATCCTGGAAAGCGCAAGACGCATTCTAGGAGTGGAGCTAACACCCAAAAGGTTAGTGGGAACAAGTTGGCTCGAGGGGAGAAGACATCGAGTTGGGGAGCAAATAGAAGATTCCCTAGAAGGGACCCAGCTCAAAATAAAGTCCCTACTGGTCCTGGCTCGAGCAATGGAGGGAATAGACCCTTGTTAAGGTGTTTTCTTTGCAATGGACCTTATCGGGTTGCAGAGTGTCCACAACGAAGTGCTTTTAATGCCATGGTCGCAACAACAAAAGGCAGAGAACGAGTGAACGCTCCGATGGGAGATACCGAGCTTGAGCCGGCTAGAATGGGTTCCATCCGATTCATAACTGCATTACAGTCTCAGTTGAATAACTTAAGGAAAGAGCCAAAGAGGGATTGATGTATGTGGACATCTCAATAAATGGGAAAACCTCTAAACCTCTAGTCGACACAGGGGCCACAGATACGTTTATCTCTCCAGAGGAAGCTGAGAGATGTAAGTTGATTGTCACCAAGGAGGTGGGACAAATGAAAGCTGTTAACTCTGCCGCTTCAACGATATGTGGAGGTGTGAAGAGGGTCAGTATCAAGCTTGGGTCTTGGGAAGGAAGTGTAGATTTCACTGTTTCCCACATGGATGATTTTGACGTGGTATTAGGGCTCGATTTTATGATAGCAGCCCAGGTGATTCATGTCCCGACATCAAGCTGTTTAATGTTCATGGGGGAGCAGCCATGTGTGGTACCAGCTACGATTCTCCCTCGTCTTGGGAAGAAGATATTGTCCGCTATCCAATTTAAGAGAGGGTGAAAAAGGGGGAGCCTTCCTTCTTAGTCTTTTCAATTTCCAAAGAGGATGACAATCTTGGCACGGTGCCCAAGAATGTTCAAGAAGTGCTGAGAGACTTTGAGGATGTAATGCTAGGTGAATTGCTGAAAGAGTTGCCCCCTAGACGGTTGGTGGACCATGAGATTGAATTAATCCTAGGAGTAAAACCTCCTGCGAAGTGCCCATATCGGATGAGTCCTCCGGAGTTGGCATAGTTGAGGAAACAATTGGATGAGTTGCTCCAAGCAGGATTTATTTGACCATCGAAGTCACCTTTCGGGGCGCCTGTGTTATTCCAGAGAAAACATGATGGGAGTTTGAGATTATGTGTTGATTATAGAGCATTAAACAAAGTGACTGTCAGGAATAAGTATCCCGTTCCGTTGATTGCCAATTTGTTCGACTAGCTGAGTAATGCTAAGTATTTCACGAAGTTGGATCTCAGGTCGGGATACCATCAAGTGAGAGTGGCCGAAGGGGATGAGCCAAAAACGGCATGTGTAACTCGGTGTCCCATCTTCTCTGTGGATGGTACACCCATCAGAGAGTTCAAAAACATGGAATCACTTGGTGTCCCATTCCCAAGGAACCAGCCCATGAGAATTTACTCCAGCCTGTGGAATGCTGATGACTGGGCCACAAGAGGTGGTCTGGTTAAGACCGATTGGACCCAAGCTCCCTTCACTGCCTCTTACAGGAACTTCAATGCCAATGCTTGTGTGTGGTCCAATGGAGCTTCTTCCTGCAAATCAAATTCCCCATCAACCAACATTTCCTCAAGGTCTACCCCCAGAGTGCAAGGTGTCTTAAAAGACTTATGAGCCAGCCACTTGGGGATAATTAGATTAGATATTAATATTTCAATATTCATTATTCTTTGATTTTTTATTATCTTTCTTTAGATCACTTTGCCATTATTTTGATATTGGATTAATAAAAACATAATTCAAAAGATTGTCTTAGTTTACATCTTTCATAAAGCAGTTCAAACTGAACAAGTTAACTGATGATACTGCATGAAATCTGAACAAGAACAAGTCTATTAACCGTTTGAACTATGGAATAATAAATTTTTTTTACTTAAAATGATTAACTTGATAAGATAAGAAAACATTATTTTTTCATATAAAAACAACTATAAAATGTTTACATGAAAATAGAAACAAGAACAAATTATCTCATTAGTCATTAAATTATTATTACTTTTCTGTTTTCATCGTCAACCATTTTTTTAAAACAGTTATTGCTAAAAAAAAATTATGATCAAAGTAGCGACATGAAAATAGATTGGTGACCAATATGATATTTTATCCTAAAAATAAGGGTAAACTACATGTTTAGTACTTTAACTATAACTTTTGTTCAGTTTCAGTCACCTAATGTTTTTATTTTCAAAATCACACATAATATTATGTTTTAGTTTCAATTTGGTCATACACCATTAAAAATTAACGTTAATTAACTGAATTGATGATGTGTCATTTTTATTTTTTCAGTGATGATGTCCTTATAGTTATACATTAGTATCATCGTTAATTTTAATGGCGGGTACGAAAAATGAAACCAAAACTAAATTTTATGTATGATTTTGAAAGAAAAAAAGAGTTAAATGACCAAAACGGAACAAAGGTGATAGTTTGGATACTAAATATGTAGTTTACCCTGAAAATATTTAGGGAAAACAAAGGAAAGGAGGGAAAAAGGAAGTAGAGATAGATTGTGCCACGTGGGACGCGCTATCTTGTCATGGTTCCAAAGATGTCCCCATTTTCTGTTTTATTATTTTTATTTTTCCAACTGCCTGTGGCGCTCTTCTTCTTCCTCGTCCTCGTCCTCGTCCTCGTACTCCTTCGCCTTCACCTTTTAGTTTTTCTTTTCTTTTTTGTTTCTCTCTTTTTCTTTATATTAATCACATTACCCCATTCTTCATTTCATCAAAATATACCCTTACCTAGTCAAGGAGAGAGAAAGAGAGAGAGAGAAAAAAGAAAAAGAAAACGCTCTTTTAATAATCCCCATTCTCAGGTACATTTTTTCCCTTATTATGCTTAAGGATTAATTTTATTTCTGATTAAAACTAATTTGAATTATCAAGACTGATTTGGGGCTTTTTTATTGAATCTGGAAACTATTATATTTGGAAGCTTTTCTGGGTTTTATTTCAGCTGTTATCGACGAATTTAGTTGAGTTGTAGGTTTTGATTCGTTGGATTCATTTTAGGTTTCCATTTTTCTCTACTCTCTCTCTCTCTCTCTCTTGTTTCTTTCGTGGTATTTGAGAATTTAAGAGTTTTGATGATTTCTGGTGCTCTTTTTGAGTTACCAGATGGAGAATCAATCTGTTCATGGTGTTAAAAGTATGAAACTTGTATAACGGTTTCCGTATTGGGTAGAGTTTTCGGTATTATTGAAATACATGACGTGACGAAAACCTTCTTTCTGTAGTAAAAGAATAAGTGATCATCTACAGCAGCATAATCGTCAAGCTGTGTATTTGATGGATTCACCTTCATTATCCCCGGAATCTGCCTTGGCTTCCTCCACCCCTGGTTCCAATGATGCAACCCCTCGTGTAAAATTATTGTGCAGCTTCTTAGGTAGCATTTTGCCTCGTCCCCATGATGGGAAATTGAGGTATGTTGGTGGAGAAACTCGAATTGTGAGTGTACCTAGAAATATTAGTTATGAGGAGCTGATGACTAAGATGAGGGAGCTTTATGATGGAGCGACAGTGTTGAAATATCAGCAGCCAGATGAGGATCTTGATGCTTTAGTGTCAGTTGTGAATGATGATGATGTGACGAACATGATGGAAGAGTATGAGAAGTTGGGTTCAAGTGATGGGTTCACGAGGCTTAGGATTTTTTTGTTTTCACATCCTGACCAAGATGGCTTATCACAATTCATTGATGGGAATGAGAGGGAGAATGAGAGGAGATTTGTGGATGCTTTGAAAAGTTTAAATGAGTGTTCTGATTTTAGGAAATGTGACTCACCTGTGATGACTCCAGTTTCTGAGGATTTTCATTTAGCAGAACAATACCTTAACAGTATGAGTATTGATGGTGGGCTTCATATCCAGAGGAGTGGTGAGATACCCATACCAGTATATAACATGCATAGTCCTACTATTCCTCAATTGGGTTCTGTGCAGTTCCAGCAACATGTTCCGCAGAGATACAATGAAATGGAAGGTCCATGGAGTCCTGTGTGCTATTCTCCTAGTCAGCATGGACACCATACTCCCAGAACACTATCAACTTCACCATCTTCTCGCTACAGGGTACTTTTTCCCGAATTTCAAGACAAATGCATGGATAGAATGCAAGAAGAATATGTAAGGCAGCGATTAAATCGGCATCCCCAGTATGAGCACCAGCCACATTTTTCCGATAGTGTAGTATGTATGCCTACAGGAGCTATGTCTGGTGATAAGGCTTGTGGTTTTCCTGGTAACATCCTTCATAGTCATGGTGTGTATGAGGGGAACCACCTCTGGGAGAACGGCAGGGTCACATTTTGTCGAAACCAGTCACCACATTTGGAGCATTCCAACATTGGAAATACTGTTCCTCAGGTTAATAGTCCAGGTGCTGAATGCCCCTCGAATCGAGAAGCATTCATGGTGAATGCAGATGGAAAATTGCCTCTTGGATTTTATTCCAAAGACCAAGTTGATCCCTCTTCTGCTCATGGTGAAACACATGGTCATGAAAGAGGATGGGATTTGCAACATCAATTGAACCCATGTGTTGAGGAAGTAAGAAATCATGCTCATGGAGCTGGAAGATTGAATGACCACAATGTTGTAGATGGTACTGGCATGAATTTACCTCTTGAGCATGCCAATTTATCTGATGGCCATTATATGCTCTCAAATTATGTTAATCAGCGAGCTAGATCTGAGTTGGGGAATGAAGTATTTAATGATCAAGCCGTGGTTGCTTCGCCCCACATGAACATTCCTCCTGAAGAACATGGAGCGGCCCGTTATGGGAATTATCCTTACCCATATGGAGGAGACAATGTTTACCAAGCATTACATGTACATATGCATTCTTTGTGGAGAAATGTTCAGAATCAAACTCATGGTGCTCCAGCTTATGAAGCATGTAGCTTACCTCAGCAAGTAAATTATGCAGTTAACGCCGCATTTTTTAAGGATCCAGCAGAAGCTATTGCAAAGCATCGTGTTGCAACAGATAGTCAAAATACTTGGGTTGAGTCTCCACAAAAGGTGCTAAGTTCTGATGGGAACGCTGTTCGAGACATTGCTTATGTCCATCCTCTCAAGGTGGACGTTGGTCCTCATTGTCAGGAAACTCAAGATGCTGTCACTACGGAACCAGTTCAAGCTCGTCAAGACATGCTAAAATTTGCCACTTCCACAGAACCTGTTCAGTTGCCCGGTCAACCTTCAATTTTAATCCATGATACATCTGATTCAAGCAACAATCAGGAATCACAAGTTGATTCTAGTGTCATTGGAGCGTCGGGGATTGAGGACAACATTGTTCCCATGGAAGATGAAGCAAACCATGTGATGAAGACGGAAAATTCTGATGTTCCAAGTGTGTGCTGTCCTGAGCAAAACAAAATTCCTGAATATGAATCTAAAGTAGCATCTAATGAGGCTAACGTTTCAAATTGTTTAAAGCTGGCTGAAAAGGGTGGCAGCCAGGCAAAACCTGGTGAAAAAGATACTACAGCTGCTGAAAACTCAGAGCTGTCTGTAAGCTGTTTGAGTTTCATACCGGACTTTGTAGCTTCAGTTACAAAAGTAGCTTTGGAAGAGGTTGAAGAAGTGAAAGCCAAATGTGAAGATTTTACTCCCATTAAGCGTGATGCAATTGAAAAAGAAGCAGCTGTGGAAGAATCAGAATCAGTGGTGAGATTAAGAAAATTTTCTGTATTAGAGAACAGCATGCAATATTTTTTCTATATTGAAGAACAACATGCAATATTTTTTTTATATTGGAGAACATCATGCAATGTCATGTTTTTCTCTTTCTAATATACATTTTCTCTCTAGAATGCCCATGGAGAGTTTGAATTGGATTCTGATAATGGAAACGAAACCCTGGCCAAAATTGAGCCAACAAAGGCCGAGGAAGAAGCTTTTGCAAGAGGGTTACAGGTCATTGTTTTGTTCTCCCTTTTCCTCATTTAACTTTAATTTCTATCTCTTATTCTTACCATTGTTTCTTGAGATCATCAATCTTTTTAGGATTAATATTGACCTAAAAAGTTCGTTACTTTTAACTTTCATTTTTTAAGTACTTTGGCTCTTAGGATCAACATCATTGTTTAAGTAGTTTTCATGGTCAGAAAGCCCAATCAAACAATGGTGTGGGGTAAAAAAAATCCTATTTAGCTTATGGGTCCATTGCTTTATTTGCATGAAAACAGGAAAAAACATAAATCAAAGAAAAAGGAGAGTTCCTTGAAAATTGTTCAACAAAAGGAAAAAAATTATAAATAATTCCATTTTATTAAAAAATGTTATAAGCATAAAAAAGTGATAATTCAAAAAATATGTTTTTTTCTTAAAAAGAATTCAAATTTTTTTTTAAAAAAAAGTTAAATCTGTTTTTTTTCTTTTTAGATCACAATAAAAAATAAAAGGTTCAAAACTAAGAAAGGGGAAGAATCAGGAGAAAGAGGATGAAGGGTGGAAGTGGAACCAGCACAGCAGCCAGCTTCCTTCTCTACCTTCTTAAATCTTACTCTCTCAGTTCTTCCTTTCCTAATTTTTTGTCTTGTGCGATGATTTGTTTAGCTTTTTAGTCACATCAGCCAATTAACTAACGGTGTTATTCTTAATGGTCCAAAAACTTTACAAAATGAAAAGTTCAGATGCTTAATTGCAAATTCCAATTCTCTAGGTACCAAACTAACAGATATTGTATACTAGTATAGGGACGAACTCAATAATTAACCCGATCTTTTAACTATTTTACCCATCTGATAATATTTTATTTTGATATTATTTGCATTTTACCTTCAGACAATTAAAAACGATGATCTCGAGGAGATCCGAGAATTGGGCTCTGGAACATATGGGACAGTTTATCAGGGTAAATGGAAAGGTTCTGTTGTAGCAATCAAGAGAATTAAAGCTAGCTGCTTTGCAGGGAGGCCTTCCCAAAGAGAACGAATGGTAATAAATATTAGCACTTCTCTTTGTGAAGCTTTGGTAGTTTATCCTTGTTATACAAGGCTCCTTGATGATTAAAAGGGTGAAAAAATGATTAACCTGATACGTCTCATTCGTCACAGATGCTATGACACATTTGTTTGGCTGTGTAGCAAAGGTTTTTTAGTTGATATTCCAATTCCACCAATTATTGCACAAAAACTAGAAATAAGTGCTTATATAACTTGAAGAATGAACTACTATGTGGTTTCACATATAGGACAAAAGCTGTTGGTACTTTATTACCAAAATGTAATTGTCAAGCCCAATTATTGCCTTTTCTCTACCTACACTCAATGGATGTAATCGCTTAGGAAGTCTTGATCATTACCAAAAGGGAAAAGAAATGTAAAATTCTCATAAAATTTTCAATTAAATGGAAGCAATTCAACTTCTGATTTGGATGTTGAAATTTTCCATTTCTGTTTATGGCACCATAAAAGAGTGCCAAATAATAGCTTGCAGCTATGAACTCTCTAGAACGCATCCTGCCTATCGGTTACTCTTCTTTCTTTCCTCTTTGACAGGATCCTGGTGGAAAGGTTTTGTTATCAATTTAATGAACTTCCTTGTTGCCCTTATTATGATTATCCTACCATATGTTTCTAGAAGACAAACTTTTTGCAATTTGCTTTTCTTATATAGTTGTATGTTTCTTCAGTCCTATTATTTCTGTTTAATCCTCGTCTAGTTGATGCCTGTGTATGGTGGCCTCTAAGCAAAAGGATATTTTATGGGATACAGTTCAATTTTTTTGTTTTGTTAACTCGCTCCCATGGATTCATTTCTCCCAGAGCTCTCATGATATATGATACTTCTATGCGTGAAAGTTTTCATAAATTGTTGATTGCAAGTTTTGTTTCTGTGTTGCCACAGATTGCAGATTTTTGGAAGGAAGCTTTGATATTGAGTTCATTACATCATCCAAATGTTGTTTCCTTCTATGGTATAGTTCGTGATAGTCCTGATGGATCCTTAGCTACTGTTTCTGAATTCATGGTTAATGGATCTTTGAAGCAGTTCTTTCAGAAGAAGGACAGGTAACCATATTAATAGCTCTGTGGTCAGGTTGTGTTTTGGGCATCCTCACTGTAGTTTGTTTTGAGTGCTGTTTGCCTTCTCATGCACCTTTTCTGTTTCGTGGTAGACCAGAATGTAATATTTTCTTAAGTAATCTTTGTGATACAATAATGTTATTGAGCAGGACTATTGATCGTCGTAAGAGACTCATCATAGCCATGGACGTTGCATTTGGCATGGAGTATTTGCATGCGAAGAACATTGTACATTTTGATTTGAAATGTGAAAACTTGTTGGTAAATATGCGAGATCCACAACGTCCAGTGTGCAAGGTATACTGTTTTGGATATTGTTTTCTGAACTCAAACTTTAAGGTTTTAGGTATTGGAGGGACTGGGGCTGGTGTTCTTCAGTTAATCATTTTCTTGTTTTTCCAGAATTATTGAAAATTCTGGATGTTAGTGTCAACTTGTGGTGATTTATTTAATGGTTGAAGCTTGGTAGTAGCTTCAGCTTGAGATTGTTTCTATAGCATGTGCCCTCTTACCATAGTCTTAAGTTACTATTAGATTTTTTTTTTTCTGATGGTGGACGAAATTGGAACTCATGCAATGCATGGACCCTTTTAGATTGGTGATTTGGGCTTATCAAAGGTCAGACAGCATACACTAGTTTCAGGAGGTGTTCGTGGAACTCTACCGTGGATGGCACCTGAGCTTTTGAGTGGTAAAAGTGACATGGTATCTGAAAAGGTAGTAGCATCTGTGCACAGATACAGATGTTTGCAACATGAGTTCTTTGTTTCCTTTGCTTCTTGGGACATTATATCTTTTATTTGGCCAGATGCTGATTTTATTCATATTTCATAAATTACCGCACTCCAGATTGATATCTACTCTTTTGGGATCGTTATGTGGGAGTTACTCACTGGCGAAGAACCTTATGCTGATATTCATTGTGCTTCTATAATCGGTAAGTGTCATGTTGTGTAGTATCTCGCTGCACGTCTTCCATGCATTCTGCTCAAAATCTTTGTTCTGTCAACTCTTTACATTGACAAAATTTTGGACATGTCCGTCAGCATATGCATTTGGCTATAAGGATCTACCAAAGATCAAACATCCCTTCATCAGATTTGGATCTATGCCTGATACTCGTGATTTTTGGCCTATCACTTTAGCAGGGACTATTTTTTATATAAATGTCAAGGAAGGTTCTCTGGATTTTCTTTTTATTAAGTGTTCAACTTCATTTATCAATCTTCATTTGATAGCTGGAAAAAGTAGGAAAAATAAGAAAAAAGAAGTTTGGGAATTTGTCACCCTATTTTCAAGGGAAACCAAATTTGTGCAGTTTCTTTAACATACTTTGGAGACGATCTCACATTAAAACACCAGTTCTGGTGAAGGTGATCCAATGGCGCCATGTATGCTTAGGGTTAACTGGATCCTCATCAAGTAGAAATGACCTGAGTTATATTTATTCAGGGTGTTTTGTGTTTTGTGCTTTCTGATTATCTGATTTTTATTTTTTAGATTTTATTCAAAATAACCTTTAACATTTTGAAGTCGATCTCATACTAAAAGACTGGTTCCAGTAACTGGACTTGTATCTTCAAATCTCTTCTGATTTAAGCATTGGTCTTCTTCTAGTATGCATGTTTTTGGATTCATTCTGATTATATGGTCAGATGTGAGCTTGGCCTGTTAATGGATATTTTACTGTCATCTCTACCAACAGTTTGTTCTTTTAACATGCAGGGGGGATTGTAAACAACACATTACGTCCAAAAATACCATCATGGTGTGATCCTGAATGGAAGGCTTTGATGGAAAAGTGTTGGGCCTATGATCCTGCAGAGAGACCTTCCTTTTCTGAAATATCTCAGAAGCTGAGAAACATGGCAGCTGCAATGAATATAGAATAAATTCAATTCTGACGCGACTTCACTTTCTCACTATCATGCTGGGAAAAATGAAAGAGAGATTAAACGTCATCTACGATTAGGCTAATGATACACACTACCTTGCCTTGGTTCTTATATAACGGATCTCGTATGGTACTGCCACAAGTTATTTCAAGAGTACCAAGATATACATTTGTGGCTGAATTAGTATACTCAAGGAGACTGCATAATATACACAAACAAGTGCCATGAAATTCAACGGGGAGGTGAGTTTTACTAACTACAATTTTTCAGAAATAAATGGTTTCTCCTGATCATTAACAGGTTTCGACTCTCCCCTTCTCAGGATTGTTGATATTTGGGGTGAATGAATCTGTCATTTGAGGTGGGACTCCCGTTCCTTAAGTATATAAGTTTATAGTAATTAATAAAGCATGGTAAATACTGCACAGTAAATACCAAGAGTTCATAAGTGTACATACCACTGGTCTCTTTGAACACTATGCTATACGAAATATCAAAATGTTTGCACTGTGAAGTTTGTGTAACAATTGAAGCGGCCCTATATGCTTCGCCGAGGAATAAACACTGTATGATTGATGCCAAATGGACAATGTTGTTCAGTTCAACTTTTGTGTTTTTTTATTCAGATATGGAAAACCAGGTAATGTATGCTTTTGACCTATTTGTTGTGGGAGAAAGGTGTCGACCTGCTCTACTATGAAAAATTAACTAAAACAAATACCATGGAATATATGCTCCATCGCCAGAGTTAACCCTGTTTGTTTTTCTCTCTCTATGCTCTCTCTGACAAAGATTATTTTGATACACTAATCAAACATCTGGTTGACTTTATTCTTCTCTTTATTATAATATGCATCAAGTTAACGTGGCATTGAAGTATATATATATTATGGTGATTAAAGAAATGAAGTGAATGAATTAAGTAGGAATTAGCATGGCCATGGGCCTCACCAACTCCCTGTTGGCTCGAAACTCCCATGGAATCAAATACCATGACACCATTTTATTTTCTTAATGAAAAGTAAGTCTAAGTGGATGTCACTAAATTATACCATAAATATTTCTTTCAAAAACAGAATAATAAATTATCATTAGAGACTCAATTAAGATGTTTAACTTTATCAAAATTTCCCTCCCCTTTCTTAGGTAGGAATTGTTCAAAAAGGTGTTTAACTTTATCAAATCATCTATTATTATATTAATTTTCCATTTTATGAGTATGTCAATATATTAAAATATACAATATACTAAAAATCCATGTTAATATATAACACTTGTATTCGTTGCTACATTTTATTCTCACGACTCATGCACCTAATACGCGCTCTTGTTTACGAGTCAAAGTTTTCAGGTGTCATTGACTTTTCCCTTACACCTTAAATATATATATTTATAGGGTAATTGTATGATCAGTTATTGAAATTTTTTGCGTATCAAACTGAAGAAGATATAGTTATGGATTCTTCTTTGATAGAAAAAGAAAGAGGGATGAGATAAAAGTGTCCTTATTGTGTCATGGTTCGATTGGATATAGGTAACTGAGATTTGGGTTTAAATTATTACTAATCTAATAATTTACTTTATGATTTATTATGTGGATCTATTGAATTTCACAAAATGACTTTAGAGCATGATGACTTCGAAGTGAGGGAGTATAGCTAGATTATAACATATCTTTTTCTTAAAATTTAATGTTTCAAGTCCATTAACTATTAGAAGTTCATGGTTGATTGATATGGCATTCTCCAATTATTAATTTTATAGTATATATATATATATATATTAAAAGTTAAATAATTATTATTTGTTTTATAATATGAAATTTAAAATTTAAAAGTAAGTATTAATAAAAGGAATAAACTATATATGTTTTGATCACTTTTTGTGTGTGTAAAAGTCGTTACACTTGATTGTTGAAAGGCACAAGTCATTAGAATGTATTAGTATTTTGAACTTTATCATCACTGTTTCATTTACATAGCATTATAAATCATTATAAAGTATTAACACGTAATAGCTTGGCAATTAAATCCAATCATCTCTTGGATGAAACTGACAGGTGGCGGTTTTAGAGATGAATAAATATTCATCAAGTAATACTTGTGTTTGAACTAGGTTATTGTCCTTACTATCATGCCTAATGTTCACCCTAATGCGTATGCAAAAGCTAAATGGATTGATTTAAAAAATTACAAGCAGAGAGTCTAAACCAAATAATATCGACTGACAGTTAATATGCTAAAATATCTAGGTGATAGAGCTTGGAGCTAGAAGAAGTGGTCAAAAAGGCAAACTAGAAGACCCAATCCCTAGAAGAAGAATGCCTAAGTAAGTACATTAACTTCACGTTAGTCCTTTCTATGGGTATATGGACCCTAAACTTATTATTCTACGGAAATGGAGCAACTGAACTAATTTACTCTGCATGTTCCTAAAAAAAACAATTCTGCATGAGTTAGAAGTACACTGGAACACCTTTTTCCAACATATCAAGCAACAGTTGGCTATAAGCATGGATGATCGAGCTCTCTTAAAATTTTGAATTCTCATATAATTCATATATTTATTATTTTTTTTATATTTTTTATTAATAATTTATATTTGTCCCCTGAAAATTTTATATATTCACCGTTAATATAAAATTTTACATCCGTCCACTACAAACGTTAGGATTAGCTAGTTAACCCTCCTTTTTTTTGCACACAGATTGCAGACCCCAAAGTCCTGATAGTAAGTATAAAGAATGCACTGCTGTCTTTGTGTTACTGGTTGGTTTAAACTGAAATTCCATTGGGACTAGTTGGTTTACACATATATCTCTTGTACTTGGATGAGAAAAAGATCCACCTTGAAGTTAATTTAACCAGTTTTGATATAAGATAAACATTTTCACTAAAGCAGTCAAATTAGTTTGCAATTAGCATCAATAATTCCACCTTATTAATATACGCACAACAAGTAACTAAGCTTATCTTGTTATCAAAGGACTGATCCCCACCCTTTACCAGCTCTCACTCAAGGAGTCTTAAGCTTTGGTCTTATTGATGATGAAATGCAAGTGTTTATATGTCAATGTATAGATTCTAAGGTTAAGAGAAAAGACAAGCACAAGCATGCTTTCCTTCTTCTTCCTTTTTATGTTGACTCTATTTGTATAATCATTATTATCAAATTTATCGTAATTAAATCAATCAAATGTTATTTTTATAACTATGACAAACACATTGACCATAATTACTTGTGTCAAAAATCAACTGTCATATTCATAATTATCACGATAAAGATAATATTATTAGAGAAATTATTGTGTTTACTATTCATAATTTTGAATATACGATTAAGAAATTTTTATTTAGAGACCTAAGTTCAAAGGGAAAATATTATAGAAAGGAAAACAAGGTCAATGAGTGGTACTACTTCTAATTAAAAAGGTTTTGAATACTCAATACCTTTGGCCATTTTCTTCTTTATTATAGATAAAGTATTGCCGTCCTTTACAATTTTCAATTCATTTACACAGCAACCCTACCTAGCCAACTTGTAATCGTTAGGTCTTGAAAAATACTTAATCATTTTTATGGGGAACAAAATGACTCACGTCACTCACTATATATTACCTATAAATCTTGCTCTTTCCTTTCCCCCATTTCTAACCATCTTTTTCCTTTGCTTTGAAGAAAGAATTCTGACGACATGGGTCGAGCTCCTTGCTGTGACAAAGCCAACGTGAAAAAAGGACCATGGTCACCAGAAGAAGATGCTAAGCTCAAGGCTTATATCCAACAGTATGGTACTGGAGGCAATTGGATTGCACTTCCTCAGAAAATTGGTATATACTTGTAACCCTAACATAAAACTTTCTTTTGATTAATGATATATATATATATATATATATATATATATATATATATATATATGTATGTATGTATGGTGGGAGCTTATTTGCATGTTGTTATGAGATTTTGATTTAACTTGACCTTGTGTTTCTGTTGGGTAATATATTTCATAGGCCTTAAGAGATGTGGGAAGAGTTGCAGGCTGAGATGGCTGAATTATTTGAGGCCAAACATCAAGCATGGTGGATTCTCTAAAGAAGAAGACAACATCATCTGCAGTCTCTATATAAGTATTGGAAGCAGGTAAACAATCCCTCTTTCTTTTTCTCTCCAACTTTTAGGCTTTCATTGTCTTCTTATTCTTTGTCCTCCATAGATTAGTTGCCCTTCACAAAAAATTATATGCAAAAGCTGCATCTTTTACAGTCAGTCTCAGATCTTTTAGGGTTTCTGATATTCTCTCCTTGCTCTTCCATGCTTCGTCTTTTCCTTGTTGAGGATAATCTTGACTGAGTTGGATCTACCATTTTTAGGTGGTCCATAATAGCAGCACAGCTGCCTGGGAGAACTGATAATGACATCAAAAACTACTGGAACACCAAATTAAAGAAGAAACTACTTGGGAGGCGCAAGCAATATAACAACAACATCAATAGGTTGTCGTCCTCAAATCAAGACCTTAATGATCATCAGTCCACTGGTTTAGCCTCGGATGATAATCAATTCTGTCGGGGTTTGAGCAACTCAGCCTTGGAACGACTCCAGCTTCATATGCAACTTCAAAGTCTTCAGAATCCTTTCTCTTTCTATAACAATCCGGCTTTATGGCCTACGAATATTCAACCCTTGCAGGACAAGGTGATCCAAAGCATGCAGGCAGCCTCCACTGGAAACCCTAACCTTCTTATGCAATCTCTCTTGCCAAACCCTCAACCTGGAAATGAACAAAGTGTCGATGATCTCTATGACCAACCTGCACAGCAAGATTATCCTGAAAATTTCAAAGCCAAGGGACTTGAAGCATTAATGGATAATTCTTTGGATGGAATATCTCCATCAGATGGCTCAGTTCTCTTTGGAACTGGAAATGATGGCGATGCTCAACCAGTTTCGAACTTCCATGGGCAGGTGGACGAGTTTATCAACGATAAAACGGCCGGTTATGCCCAAATGGCTGATCTGGATTGTTTCAAGGAGATGAATGGTGCAAAAGACAGCTTGATTTGGTGCCCGACTGAGTTCGATGCAAAATCAGCATCTTCCAACTCATTGGATTCAACTTCTGTTCTTCAATCCGATGGGGTGTTTCAGGATTATGAATTAGGTTACCCTATGTAGCTAGGTTAGAGACAATGATATAAAATAAGGGTTTGATGTTTAATCTTATTTGTGATGGAGATAAAGATTGAGAAAACTGTTGGGTTTAATGCAAAAGATTCAATGTAAATCGTGCTAATAATCACGTTAAATTTCATTCTCAGCTTTACCTTTCTTCTACTGCTTCAAATAGTATCAAACAGAAATCTTGTTAGTTCTTTCAACCTTAAACTTCATATTTAAAGAGATTACTCACTCAAATCAAAGCTTTTACATTGTTTGAATTAAAATTCAACCGACAATTTATTGCATGAGAAATAGATGCATGTAACAAACTACACATGAGAGGCGCAATCATACATTGTACATACATTGGCTGAGGGACCTAAACAAGTTACTTGTTATGCATATGCATGGTACTTTTCTTATAAAATAAGCTTTACAAGTATGGTGGTTTGTGCTGCAACGTCTGTCAAAGTTTCAACTTTGAATTATATAATAAGCAAGGAGATTTTGAGTTGCCTTTGGAATATACATGAACCAACTATGGGCTACGTTGTAGCTATTTGGCAATTGGAAATTTACGCTAAAAAGGAAGTTAAAAAAAATGTTTATTTACTTTTTGGTCGGTAAACCATATAGTAGAAAGACTAGTTGAAGTGCTCATCTCCATCCATTACTATTCACAAAGAAGAAAACAAACAACTTGTTATCTCCCCCTAATTAACAGTCTACCCAAATTTTTTTTACCTTGTTAATCCATCAATTTTATAATATTTCTTAAAATTCCAAAATCTCCTTATTTACGTGCATATCATACAAAATCTCCTTTTCCATTAAAAATTATTATACATGATATAAATATTTAATTTATAACTTATACATTATTTGTATAATGTACATCTTTGTGTGCATTTGAGAGACTTTCTTTTATTATTTGTTTGGACCTTCAATGAGATGATCCAGTCACAGTGGGCCTTTAACCACCAAATTAAAATATATTTGAGTTGACCCAGTCCCAGGGGTAAAACTAGCGTAAAATAAAAAATGCTCTGCGGTGAGCGTGGATCGAACACGCGACCTTCAGATCTTCAGTCTGACGCTCTCCCAACTGAGCTATCCCCGCTAGATGCTAAGTTCATGGAAAGTAGTTTTATTGAACAAAACTAATGGGAGAGACTATTGAAAGACGAATACCTTGTATACGTACAGCGGGAATCTCAGTTGTACTTATGATCTCCACTGTAAGAATTTTTCTACATTAGGAGTTGCTGCTACCTTTCAGCTTGAGACACCGACTACAGAGGACCTTTCATGGAGGAGAACAATGTGTAATAATTCGTGGGTTTCATATTTGCATGCCGTTTTACACCTATGCGCAAGAAACAAAGCAGCCGTCCCTGGGAAAGCATATCATGCACGGGAACCCGTTTCGGGTTGCAAGAAGACACTACAACATCCAACATTCTCATTGATATGTATTCCAAATCTGTTCTTCTGTCCACGCGCCCGCAGAGTGTTCGATGGAATGCCAAGACGAAGTTTGGCTTCTTGGATTACCTTGATTGTTTCATACGCCCAAAACAGGGAAGCCCATGAAGCATTGAGTGTTTTCAAGCTTATGCTAACGAATGTAAGCTCGTTTAGTGAATTCAACGTTTCAAGTATTCTTTGCGCCTCTGTTGAAATATGTGCTGCTTCTTTGTGCAAACAACTGCATGGTTTCTCTTTAAAGGCTTCCGTCGTTACAAACATGTTTGTGGGCAAAGGATGCTAGTTGCGTTTCTGACTAGCATGCAGGAGAGGCCGTAATTTCTATTGGACGCAGCAGCAGCTCGGGGATTATATTTACGAGGTAGAGTGGAACAATAAGACCACCTTGTACTACACACTGGGCATAATGGAACATGTGATGCCATTGATTTTCTCTGTTGGTCGGTTCATGATAGAATTGTGATGAAAAAGATGCAGCACTCTCAGTTGTCTCATTGATAAAACATGTAACATCCTCAAGAGAGGACCATGTACTTATACAAGAGAGAGGAGGAATGACGTGCTGTGGAGGTTTCTAATAAACTCCTAACAACCTGCACTGAACATCAAAACCCAACGCTTATACTAGTGGAGCACAACAACCCTAACTGCAGTACTTGGCAATATATCTATATCCATAACAGTTTATACTCAAATTTAATTATTTTAGAAACACTTGGGGTTTATATTTTTTAGATGATAGACAGGAATTTCAGTTTTTTTTTTTTGGACATACATGAATTTCAGTTTTAAACGCGTGCCATTTAAACTGAATTAATATGGAAAATTTTCAGGAATAATTACAAACTTCGTGACAATTGAAGTTGGTGCAACAATGTCAGACTCAATGGTTCACGGGTTCAGGCACTGTAGTATTATTTCACTGCAAAAATAACAATGTCTAAAGTTTACGTTCGCAATTCATATGATTTTATCTGATATTTTGAAAATTATGTATAAATTATATATGCCAACTCACAAAATTCATGTCCACTGGAATTACTTGCAGGTTGGGAGGGTTTTGTCCCATCAAATTTTTTGTATCATCCATCTCAGTTGGTAGAGCACAAGGTTCTTAATCTTGAGGTCGTGGAATCGAGTCTCACGGAGGGCATTTCATAATTCGGAGGTCTCTCACGGAAGCTGCTCTCAACCTGGTATTAGGGGTAGCCTACTATCTTACCTCCCCCTTACCCCATACATATAGAAAAAGGGACAGCCATTTTTAGTCTTATCCCTCCACTATTTTTTAATTCCCATCTTATTTTTATTTAGGGTAAACTACACATTTAATGTCCTAATTATCACTTTTATTTTATCTTGTTCACTTAACTAATATATATTTTTAAAATAATGCATAACGATACATTTTGATATCCTATTGTTAAAGAGTTAACAAAACTTCTAACGTGGTATTTTCATGAAGAAAAAATCAATGATGACGTAATATTATCTTATGGGGACAGATCAATAGCACTGGTATTTTTTTAATAACGGGCGACCAAAATGAAACCAAAACGTAACGTTAGATATGATTTTAAAACAAAAAATTGGTTGGGTTAACCAAAATGGAACAAAAATGATAGTTATAATACTAAACATATAGTTTACCCTATTATTTATATTTGACTTCCTTCAAAGTTTCAATTTAATTTCATCGTCGTTCATGTGATTACTCCGTTCATAATTATATGTTTTTCTTCAGTCGGCAAAAAACAAAGATAGATGAAATACTGGTATATATTTTAAAACAAAAATAAACAATTATTATTGTTGTTAAAAGTAATAAGAAATATCAAAATCTTTAACTAATAGTTTAATATTTTTAATTTATTTAAAATTCCCATTGGTTGAAAGAAACTATTTGCCTACATCGAGTGTTAATAAGAAATTTTAATTAACATTTGTGATTAATAAAATGTGACATTTGTAAAAGTTTTAATCTTGTATTTAATGATAAAACACATATTCAATGTAATCACATATATAATAATAATAATATATTATTATTAGTAATTTTAAATTTTTATTTTTATTTAATCATCTCGTATTATTAAAAAATTATTTATTTCATACATAAATATGATTAAATATATTTATTTAATTTTTTCTAGTATGAAAGATGTGAATAAGAAAAGAATAAAAGCTTTATTAATCAGCCAACTCTAGCCGTCATATACCCCTCCACAATTCAAGGACTGCAGTCTAGATGTAACCGCGCCAAGCATCTTACAAAATCCAAAGACTTTTCCTAAAAGGAATACGTGTCCCAATCACGTATTTTCTGTAGCTGTTCCATACTGCACAGAATTCCATCCCATTCCTTCTTCTTTGTTGCTTCCCTCCTCATTTTGTCCACTTTTCGATTCGATTCCCAGGAAGACATCGGAAAGCGCCAAAAAAGGGATAAAAAAGAAGTTTACATTCTTCGCAATTACCCCCTCTATTTCTCGAAATCTCAATTTCACCCTCTCGGGATCTCAACTCCTCTTGCAAGCAGGCCCTCTCCTTTTGTACAGGGAGAAAATAAAGAAGGGGTGCTGCTTTGCAGATCGGATCACAGATTTATGCTCTGAGAGACCAGATTTTCTATATTTAATGATATGGGTATACTGTTTACAAAAATGTTCTCTTCTCTGTTTGGTAACAGGGAGGCTCGGATCCTTGTCCTTGGCCTTGACAATGCCGGCAAAACCACCATTCTCTGTATTATTTCTCTTCCTTTTTATGTTTTTAGTGATTTATATCGGGGTTTATGAAATGAGCAATTGCCATTTTTGAAATTTTATAATTTCATGATTTTGGTTGCAGATCGACTCCAGATGGGTGAAGTTGTATCGACTATTCCAAGTTAGTATTTTTTTTCAAAATTTCAAAATTTTCCTCTTTTGTTTGTTTAAAATGGCTTTATTGAGCAACTCATGTGTTACGGAGAAGTTAGTACTTGCAATTAAGCAGATCAAAGAGTCTCTTTTATATTTACGAATTGCTATTTCATTTGCTTTGTTGTTCATGGTGCAGCGATCGGTTTTAATGTCGAAACAGTACAGTACAATAACATCAAATTTCAAGTTTGGGATTTAGGTATGCCGACCACTGCTTCTTGATCTAGATCTTTAACATGAAGGGTGAATTTTCTTAATAATGTTGATTGCTTAAAGGTAAAGAGATGGAGAAATTCACAACATATATCTAGTAAAATCATATTAGATAACACCTCAGTTTTTAGTCTTATAGATTTGTCAAACAGGTAGTATTCTCATAATTTAAGCCTCCTTGCTTTCTTATATCCAAGGCTTGATTGATGATAATTGTGACTTCTGTTATCGTAAATCTCAACTGAATAGAGTAGCTTTCAATTCTCAAGTTACATGATTCTTCTGCCTCGTTTCCCTATCTTTATATATTTGTTCTTAGTATCTCATCTGTAAATTCATTATAGGAAGTAAAAGCTTTAAGCAAATATAAAACTGATCACTCTTTATCGTCAGAGCTTTACTTTTTCAAAACAGGATGAAATAAACTTTTGACTTATATGGGACATTGTGCATCTAGCTGCCAATCCGAAAGCTATTTCTGCAAACTTATACAGAATAGGTTTTTCTTTTCTTGCTGTAGGTGCTGTTATTCAAAGCTATTTCTGCAAATTTAGTATACCTTGTGTTGCAGTTTTGCTTTCTTTTATTATTAAGGCTTTTTTATTTTAGCATAAGTGCTGTCAAATTCTTGTCTCTATGACATCTTTACCATTTATTGATGCAGGCGGACAGACAAGTATCAGGTAACTTCCCTAAACATGCATCATTTTTCTTTGGTTTTAAGTTCATCCACTATTTATTTATTTATTTTCTTCTGGCAATTCTCCTCTAAGGTGTTTGGTTTGCGGAAGCTCTATGCAAAGTTGTCTTTGTGAGTCTACAGTTGGGCATTGGCTGCATAAAAATTTAATTAAATAGTTTTTGCTCTCAAACTTGTATGATACCCTTTGAGTTCTTTTAATTTGAGAAAGATAAGGTGTATGTCTTCATTCAGTTCATGTAGTTGAGGAATATATCCCTTGAAAGACTATGAACTATCCTTGAAAATTTTACAACTACTTCTTTAAATTGATTCTTTATTATGCACAAAGTCTACATAGCAGTTCCAATGCTACGCCTTGAACCACTCGGCCATCTCTCCTACATAATTGTTATGGCCGATAACCCGAGTGAATAGCGAGTTATTCATATTAGATTGTTTGATAGGTACAAACTTGTACACTCATCCTATGTAATTTGTGATTGGATAGACAATGGGATTTATTTTTGCATTATTGCCAAAAGCAAACATCTTTAAAAAGCCACAAATTATACCAAGTTATCTTGGTCACTCTGTGCTTTACAGAGAGAGAGAATATCAAATCTGCATATACCATGCAATTTGAACCTAGATTTTGTAATTATTGTTTACTAGCATTTCCATGTTTGCATAAGTATTTTTCTTTACCTTTAGAGCAAACCACTAATTTCTTATTTCATTTTGCTCTACAGACCATATTGGAGATGCTACTTTCCAAATACCCAGGCTATAATCTATGTTGTTGATTCAAGTGACACAGATAGGCTGGTGATAGCTAAAGAAGAATTTCATGCAATCTTGGAGGTAAACCCATCAATATGCATTTCTTCATATTTACAGTATTTTAGTAGTTTCCTCTTTAAAACATCCTAAATCCTCATTATGGTGGAGTATCTTGTTAAGGTATATCTTATAAATGTTCCTTGCTGTGAAGATGATGTATAGATCATTTACAGGCTGTAACGTTTATATCATGGACCCACTGTAGTAATTTTTGTAGTTTAGAAGTTTGACAGGAAGAAAGAAGGATAGGTGAAAACATTCCTTCTGCTCCCTAGAATGTTATTTCCCTACAAATTTTCAATTGCATATCAGGTTGTTATAGTTTTGATGTATTATCTTTCCTTTTATATTATTTATTTATTTGAATGCAAATTCAAAAGACTTCTTCAGTTTGTAGTTTCCCGTGAAAAATAAATAAACCAAAGCTTTTAAGATGACTTGTTTATATGACTGTAACTATCAACTGATGCTTGGTGTTTGCAATCTCCTTGTTTGTTTGTCAATGCTTGTTTTATATATTTTATAATGCCACTTCTGGACTAGTTTCAAGTCTGAATCTTTTACAGGAGGAGGAACTAAGAGGAGCAGCAATTCTGATTTTTGCAAATAAGCAGGTTGGGGCTATTCCTTTTTCTTGTTGGACTGGCGCAGAACCTCTTTTTTTTGGGGGGGTGGGGGGTGGGGTGGGGTGTTTTTTTCTTATGTTTGACAATTGACATTGAGCGGAAGGGCGAGGAATTAGAGGCCCTTATCCCGAAAGGGAATAGTATGCAGTTTCTTATGCTTCTTTGGGAGCATAAACTTGAGAGTGAATTTAGATTTTGTTTGCTGGACATTCAGGGGATGAATAGGCATATCATGTGTAAATTAGTAGTGAAAATCATTTTGTATGTGTGCCCTGTCGCTCAAATATCGGTACTAAATATACAATCCAAATCCATTATTTCAAATTTAAACTCCCGAATTCAACCTTAATAAATTTGGGTGAGGAAAGAGGATTAACATTTTAATCTGATGATCAAAGATTGTAAGCCACTTTGATACTTTTAATTTATGGAAGTTTCTTGTAATTATATATGTCACGTTGTTGGTTTATACAGGATCTTGCAGGTGCACTTGATGATGCTGCAATTACAGAGTCATTGGAGTTGCACAAGATAAAAAGCCGACAATGGGCTATTTTTAAAACATCAGCAATAAAAGGGGAAGGGCTATTTGAAGGCTTGGAGTGGTAAGTTTTGATTTTTCTGTGGTCACTGAGGATTCAGGCTTTTTGAAATCCACTAGCCTAATTAAACTGTGAACTTTTTACAATTCTCTTGCTTCTAGTTTGATCTTCTTCTTTAACTCCCAAACGAGTTTAATTTATTGGTCATCGTTGTAGGTTGAGCAATACACTTAAATCTGGAAGCGGCTAATGCTTGGCATGAAGAATCGGAAGCGTTGCAGCTACTCGATCCATACTAATGGAGCGTGCTACGGTTATGGCCTATGGTGATGATGTGACAGAAATTTAATCCATGGAAAAAGTTGTGTTGATTGACCTGCTGAAATTTCTGGGTTTTATTAGTATTTTTTGTGGGGTAAACATTTGGTATACATGTAAAATTTTTGTTAAAGATTTAGCCATTTCTTTTTTTATCTATGTTAATCAATCATCTGTTATGCGACATCTGTATGGAAAAAATAGTCCTGATACTGTCACAGGGCTTTTTCATCCAATTAGACGATGAGGCAAACACAATGACTTTGATTTAATAAAAAGTAACATTCAAGAGAGAGAGAGAGAGATGAAACACCAGGAGCAGCAGAAGCAGCGACCAAAAGTTTGTACCATGAGAGAAGTCCATTAGGGGACACAAGATGGAAATGAGACCCAACTCATTGCTTCGACTCATTAGGGGATACCAGGCGCGTAATCGTTAATTTTTGCCTAATTTGGTTATTTAGAGGGTAATGCATTAATGTACATGCATGCATATTGGTGAGGACTTCATTACTGCTGATTTATTTGAAAGTCCCTTCTCTTCTTTCTTTTTTTAACATTTATTGCTTTGACAAATATTGATTTCTTGAACGAAATCAATGAAAACAACTTTAGCCTAATCCCTTCACAATGTTGGAACTAGAGGTGTCTATAGCTGTGTCCAATTAAGTCCAATTTAGTTTTAAAAGTTTGCGTAAACTACATATCTTGTCACTCGACTATTTATGGTGTTCCGTTTTGATTATCTAATTTTTTTTCTTTTAAAATCATATATAATGTTGCGTTTTAGTTGTATTTTGATCACCCGCCGTTAAAAAATTACATGTTACCATAAGATAATGTCAAGTCATCATTGAAAAGCCTAAAAAATATAATGTAAGTAGTTTTGTTAGTTTTTTAACAATGATTGACCAAAATAAAATCAAAACATAATATTATGCATGATTTAGAAAAAATGAATGACCCAAACAGAACGACACAAATAATTTGATGACTAAATATGTAGTTTACCTTGAAAATTGTTATATTTTGACTTGAGTATGCTTCAACTCATTTTTAAGTTTAAAAAAATAAAACAATATAAATATAATTATATATTAAAATTAAATTGAAATAAAATATCTTTTAAATTATTTAAACTATACACGAATTGTTTAAGTCAAATATGACTTGAGTTTAATCATGGATGGATCAAGGGAGTGGGTGGAGACAGTCGCCCCATGAAAATTTTAAATTCTCTTATATTTTAGATTTTTCTGTGTATTTTCTATTAATAATACGTTTCTGTGCTCTTAAAATTGTTTAAGTCTATTTTCTTTTAAAAATTTATAAGTTTGCCTCTAACGTAAAACCATGCCTTCATTTCTAGAATTGAATCGGGGAACTAAATAAATATAGTTGAAAGGTGAATATTATTTTTGGAGTTATGAGATAATTAAATGTAGTAATTATGTAGGTACAAGTTTAACTAACTATTTACTTGTTTGAAATGTTGGGCGTTGAATAATGAAATAGCTATAAATTAGGTTAAATGGTTGACATTGGGAAAGGCTCTCGTTACCAAAAGTTAGGCTACTTAACCCACCGGCCACCACGAATAGAAAGCAATTTCACGTCTTCATCTGTTAAATGTTTTCAATGCAATATGCACCTCTATTTCATGTGTGAATCCAATGAATTTTAATTCAAAAAACCCTCCAACTCTCAAGGAAAAAAAATATAGAGGATGAGAAATTTGATATATTTATAGTTTAGGTCTTTATTTATTAACGACATATATATTTATTATATTTATACTTTTAAGATAATATTTTCGATTGTAACATGTTTAACTTAAAATCTTATTTTGTTCAATTTAAAAAAATTGTACTCTTAATGAAAATTTTAATTACAATAATTTTTAAACTTTATATTAACGAATTGTATTTTAAAATCTCGTGAGGCAACAACCAAAAGGCAACATGATTTGTCGTTGGGCTAAGCGGCACGGTTGGGCGATATATGGGTTTAGAGTTCAGCTTTTACGGGAGGGCATGTCATAAAAACAAACACAAAATCTGAGATTTTTGGTCAGTTTGCTCCCCTCCCCTGTTCACTCTAAATTCCTCTGTAGATTTGAGCTGCGGGCAGCCTTTTTGGAGCTGTATCTAGTTCGTACCCATCACAGTCTTCAGTTACACAGCTTTTCCCTTTTATGCTGCAAAGGTTTCAATTAATGCCTTTTGGCTTTTATTTTGTCCCTTCCTTTTGTCATTTAAGTGAAATTTGTGGTTGCCTTTCCCAAGGGTAAAAATATCATTTACGATGCCAACCACTATGCTGTCCCTTTTTTCCATATGTATGGGGTAAGGGGAGGTAAGATAGTAGGCTACCCCCAACCAGGTTGAGAGCAGCTTCCGTAAGAGACCTCCGAATTATGAAATGCCAACCACTACGTCATTCAATTTTGCTTAATTATATTCGATTAAACAACGGATCTCATACTACCCCATAAACTGAAGACCAGTCAATATAATGACCATATGTATTATGAAAATGATGACTCCCCCGTCTTTCTCAATGATTCCTGTGGCATTGAATCACCCACCTAAAGCAATTGCTTCAATTTATTGAACGCTGAGATGAGTCATGAAACCAAATTTTGCATTTATGATTGTAGTTGAAAGTGGGCTATGCTCATGTTCGTATTCATTGCGTTTCTTGTAATATTGTGTAGGTCCTTGCAAAATGAATCGTAACATTATGGTCGTTACCACTCATTAATTTCATTTGTGAAAGCATATCTCCATGAGCATTCATTTATGCTTGGGTAAAGAGATCTTAGATATATCTAAGAAAAACTCATTATCAAGTTCGTTGGTTCCATTTGATACCATGAAAAAAATAAGATTAAATTATGTGTTTAATATTATAACTATTATTTACGTTTCGTTTTGATCATCAAACTATTTCTTAAAAGTATAACTAATGTTACATATTTATTTTACTTTGGTTACGCGCCGTTAAAAATTTAACAGAACTGTCGACGTTGCATTTTTATTTTTCTAATGATGATGTGGCATTGACTTACGATGACATGTCAATATTACTTTTAATTTTTAACGATGAGTGACTGAAATGAAACCAAAATCAGACGTTAAGTATGATTTTGAAAATGAAAATAGTTGGATGATCAAAATAGAAGAAAAGTGATAATTAAGATACTATACATTTAGTTTACCCAAAAATAAACATGAGATTATTGATGTTTAATAAAATTTCATTATTGATATTTGAATAGTTACGTTATAATCAATTGATCGTTAACTTTTATGATCATCTCTTGTAGTTTATTATATTCAAATTATTGGTTATAAAAGGAATATTATTAATCCACTAATTAATCAAGGTAGACCCCTCTGAAAGTTGGGTGCCTTTTATCCCTTGATTAAACCCAAATATCATAGCTTGAATGCGAATAGTACGGTTTAAGTGCCTCACGTAGGCATGTCTTGCTTTTTCACATAGATGTGTCCAAAAGGGTCAGTCAATCTATCTTACAAAGCCTTTTCTTCAATATTCTTTTTCCTAAAAGTTGAATATGCTTGTTTGCAAGGGACGAAAGAGATAGTGCCACAAAACCCTAATTTTCCACATATTGATAGTTCTTATATACGACAATCTTAATATACGGTAAAATTTTATCGAAAATATTAATATTTATGATAACGTATTTTTTAGCAATATATTAAGATTGTCATGCCTTAAACATCCCGTACCATTAGTGGGGGAGTTGCTTTTCTCCCTCAAGCTTATTCTAAAATTTTCACTTAAATTGTGTTGGATGTTTTTGTTCTTAATGAATCAAATACAGAGAAAGAGAGAGAAAAGGAAGACAGATATTCCTATGAAAGAGGGGTCTGGTCTATCCTTCATAAATACCAACCTTTTTTATATTCCTTCTTTTTCTTTCTTATTTTATGAAAATAGAGAAAAACTTGAAAGATTTTGATCGCTTAAAACCTTTTTTTTTCATTTTCATTTTTGTTTGTAAAAGAGCTTCCTTTTGGGGATTCATTTCATTTCCATCCTAAAACAAATTATATACGAAATTACTTTGTTAATTCTTTTATTTTTCATCCATATTTAATAGATTATAGCATTTCTTATGATAAGGAATGGGTAGCTGATGCTGATGATGATAGATAGTTATCTTACGAACCCCTTAGTCGTAATTGACTAGACAAACTCGATAATCGGCTCTAATCAATCCTCCTAATCGTAATGAGAAGGCAAACCGGAGCGTGAAGATATATCTCACAAAAAAACTTGAAAGAACTTAATAAAAAGAAGTTTCGAAGGCACACGACAATCAACACTTACAAAAATGAACTATCGTTGTATTATTAATCAAAGAAATCTACCATTTTCAAAGTTGAATGAAGCCTCATTTATATAGGGCGAGGAGTCCTTGTTGTAAAATGACTAATTTAATAAATATAATGTTTCGATTCTATCATAATTCTTAATAAACTAAGAATAATGTTTTAACTCAATCTTAATTCTTAATAAAATAATGAATATAATCCTAAAATATAATTAATGCATCATCCTATATTAAATTATATTACTAATAATCAATAAAAATATTAAAAATTTGTAATATTTATAAAATCTCGTATAGGAATTTCTGCATGCGTTGTCATCAGTAAAATGGACGTATCTTGAGTTTCCGATATCATATTGATGCGATTCAAAGACCGTTGGTAAACTAAGAGACAGTCGATCATATATCTAGAAGAAATGTTGACCGAATAAGAATAAGATCCCATTCGAAAAGCAATCATAAGTCTATTGTTCTGCTATTCTTCTTTTCCAAGACTTATTCGAGTGGATCAATTGGAAGTGTTAGTCTATCTTCATTTGATATGAACTTTGTGATATATGTATATCCTTCTCTATTCAAAAGAATTCGATCTTGAGTCCGATAGATGTGCTTTAAATCTTTGGGATTTTGATCTTCTAACGTTCGAGTAGAACCATTATTCCAAAGAGAATGATTGTGATAATAATTTTATTGGAATTCAACATTTGATTTGGATATTTTTAATATTTGACTGGGACCAATCAAATTACTTTTATCGTTCGAGTATCCAAGTTCGACCGGCCGGATG